TACGTAAATAGCTAGATCCTATATTATATACTCCTTCTTATTAAAAGTTAGGGGGCCCCTTATATATTCCCTTATATTTAAAATATAGCCCGTATTAAAGGGATTTCTAGCTTTATAAAATATAATTTCTAAATTAGCGTTAATATACTAAATCTTAATATCTATACTAACCCGGCTATTTATAGCGTTTGTACTATTACTTAGCTAAATTCCGTACTATTAAAAAGTATTTTACTAATCCTCGGGCGTATTTACGTTAATTATAATAATTATAATATCGAGCTAGCTAAGGGCGCCTAGCCCGAGAGGGGTAGACTTATTAACGGGTATTTTTAAAGAGTTCTAGCTTACTAATTACTAACTATATACTAAGAATAGAGTAATAGTTTATATATTAATAGGTTTATTTAGTAAATTTATTTAGTAAATTTATTTAGTTTAAATAGAGCTTTAGGTAATATTAAAAGTAATAAGGATAAAAAAAATCTTTATAAGCTTTAGTATAATAAAAGAGTAATAAATATTAACCTATTTAGCCCTTTTTTTAAAAACCTCTACGTTATTATTAAAGTTTAGAACCTCTATAGTTAAGGGCTGCCTCCGACTATTACGGCCGACTATTATAACTAATTATTATAGCCGACCTCTATTATTAACCTTTCCGGCCGGCACCGCTACTAAAAAGGGTAGCTTACCTATCCCGAATTATATAGTAGTTTTTATATCGAAATTATTATATTACGTTAAGCGCGTACTTAGGGCATATTATACGTATTATATAGTTAAAAAGTATACTATATTATATAATTTCTTTTAAAAACGTAATCTCGTTAAGGTCGATCTTTTGCGCCTATAAAGCCGGAAAAAAACCACTATATAAAATACTATTATTATTATTTTTACTTACTTTCTAAACTATACTAAGTAATAAATATAATACCTTATTACTTTACGACGATAATATAGTATTTATAATAGGGCTAATATTACCTAAATTATAAAATTAGTAATAAACGACTAAGAATTAAATAATTAAGTCGGAGTAGTTATTTACGATAATACTTTAAATAATAATACTTACTTAGGTTACTTATATCTTATATTATTTTATATTTATATTTAAAAAGATATTTTTAATTAGAGAATAAAGTACTATAGTTATATTCTTAACCTCGTTAATAAGGCCTTTTTATTTAGTAATAATAAAAAAGTATTTAAATAAAAATTAGATATATTAATTAATACTAAGTAACTTTAAAAAAATCTTAATCTTTAGTATATAAGGGGCCTTATTAATAAGCTTTAGAACGTTATTAAATTTATTCGCTCGTTATTTTAATAATATAAGGCCTTCCTTAAGGTTAATAATAAGATTAATAAGAATAATATATTTACTTTTTTTAAAAAGTCGTTATAAGAGCTTATATTAATACTTAATAACGATATAAAGTAAAATTTAATATACTTTATAATATAGCGCTCTTTATAAAAAAAAAAGTAGATTTATACTTTTTTAATAACTAGTCGAGCTTATAAGGATTTAAAATAACGGATCCTTATTAAGAACGTTCTTAATAATAATAATTAATAGCTATTAACTAAGCTAAAAATAGTACTTAAACTACTTTATTTTTAAATAATAAAATACTAAGGCTAGGGTAAAAAAAACGGTTATAACCGTTTATAAAAAATAATAGTAAGTCTCGAGTACCTTATTAACTATTTCGAGGAATAAAAGAAATTATATAATAAACTTTTTTAAAAAAAAATAGATTTTATAACTTTTTAAATCGTAGCGTCGTAATTATAATTAATATAAATAATACTACCTCGTTAATAGTTAGCTCATTATTAATTTATATCCTAACTTTTTTTTTAATTTTTAATTTTAAATAGTATTCTTTATTATATTTAATTTAAATATATATTTAAAGAGCGAGTAGAGCTACTTTTTAGTAATAATTTTAATTTATAAGGATATTTTTAATTATTAATTATTAATACTTAGTAAGTCTTTAATAAGTATTATACTAAGTTAAGTAACTCTTTACTTTATATTATAATAATTATTTTTTACCTTAAGTAAGGATTAAAATAGTTAAAAAAGAGGTAGAATATACCTAAGCAAAGCTACTAACTATTTAATATAAAAAAAGGACTTTATAATTATTAATAAAAATAGTATATAAATAAAATAATAAGTCCTTTTTTTTTTTATTATCTAAGTCCTCCTTTTTTATTACGATAATTATAAGCTATTTTTAATACCTTTATAATTCTAAAGAGTATTATAAAAAACTCGTAGTATTAGTAATAGTTAATATCTTAAATAATAAACGTAATAATTAACTATTTACCTAAGCTTAATTAATATTACTTATAAATTATCCCTTAGCTAGTCCTTAACCTAATTTAATAGTAAATTAACTATCAACTAACCTATTTAATATTAAATAAGCTTATACTTAATATCTTTATAATCTCTATAATAATAATAAATTATAAGAGGATATTTAGCTTTATAAAATTAATTTTAACTTTATAACGATTATTAATAAGATCTTTTATACTAAAAGAGGTTTAATATTTTAAAAACTAGCTTCGTAGCGGTATTATAGAAATAAGAGGTTAATTTTTTAATTAAAAAAGCTAATTGAAATAAAGTTTATAAATTAGTATTATAAGGACTTTTATAATAGCTTTATTTAATTCCTAATTAAAAAATTAGTTAAATTTATTAATTAATTATTAAATAATTAAATATAGCGCGAGAAATAAGTTAAATAATTAAATACGAACCTTATATTTAATTTATTTATATAAGTATAAGCGCTGCTGTCTAGTACCTCCGGATGACCGCTCGTCCAGTCGATCTTATTCTTAAATAGACAAAGCTTAGACTCCCATAGCTCTATATCATTAAAAACAGCTGTTACTTCCTCTCTAATCACCGTTATCTTTCGCAATTTATAAGGGTTTAACTATAACCCGTGGACTTCAGCGCTCACCCCATTAGAGAGCTTGAAATGGGCGTTAACCGTGTCTAAGATAGTGGTGCCTGGGCGTAACAGACTTTCCCCGTAAGTCTAAACAACTGCAGCCTCGACGTTGTCGGAGAGACCTAGAATCATAGATAAATCATAAGGAGCTAGGCTCCAAAAAACGTTTTCACCATGACGAATTCTCCCGAAGGCAAGCCGACGTGACTGAATGTGCAAAACCTTTCCTAGAACTCCCAACTTCACAAGGTCCCTGAGCTCTTGATAGGCTGGATGGTAGCGAAAGGTATGACCGACCATAGCTATTCTTTGTATCTGATGCGCCACTGCTTGTACTCGCTTACTCTCCAAAACAGTTAGAGCTAAAGGCTTTTCAATGAAGACGTGTTTTCCAGCAGTCAAAGCTTCGACAGCCATATCTGCATGACAAGTTGCAGGCGTTGCAATCACAATTGCGGTGATAGACGGATCAGCTAAAATACTGGCCCAGTCGCGAGTTGGTATGAGGTGGTTATGGGTGGTTCGTAGGAGTTCCGCAGCATCATTGGCTCTGGCCTGATTGACGTCAAAGACAGCGCTCAGTGCCCCAGAGTCGGCGAAGACTCGGATGAGATTCGAGCCCCATTGGCCGCAGCCGATCACAGCTACACTAGAGCAATCTGACCTAGCTGGTGATTGAAGATAGAAAAATTTTCGCTGAAGATGATGTGGCTGCGTCTTAGTAAATTATAGTACGAAATTGCATTAAGGAGCGGGACTTAGTCTCGAGAAGGTGTTTGAATTCTTTTTCTTCAAACGACGAATTTGAGATTTGGCGCAATCGGCTGAATCAATGACAATCTAAGCACTTCAGCCGAGGTACGAGTTGTATTTGCCTGCTAACAACAGAAGCCCAGCCGAGAAGTCCATCTGGCAGTATCACTATGCTGGCCGATCGAATTCACTGATTTTGTGATCTATCAGTAGGTGGGCACGGTACTTCACAATTAAGAGCGGCACACTGCCTCCGTTTTCTCCGCGTCCTTGTTTCCGCCAAGTACTTGTTCCTCCAAAGTGGTCTGATCAGCGCATGGCGTATTGCTAAAATTAGAAAATTGCCAATCTCTTCCTCAACTTGCATCATGTATGCAAGTCACCTCATCACATCCACGACTTTGACTGGTGCGTTTATGCACGCTCACTTGCTCGCATGCATCACAACCAACTTGTCACTACTCAACACTTCGCGCCTCAATGTGGTATGGCCACTGGAACAAGACATGCAACGCCTTGCCAAGGTGTGTGCTATTAAAAGATCAACTTACACTGTAGCCTGCGGGTCTCTTTAGGCGTAAGATGAAGCTCAGATTGATGGGAGAAAGGTAATTAGAATCTGTCGGGATCTAAGATGCCTCGAATGACTGTATCTGAGTGACTTTGCAGTCGCCACTACAGAAGACGCTGTCAACATGTGGCGAGTCTTACTGTTCTTAGAAATGAGTGCGAACAGCCCAATTCGAAACAAAATGCTTCTACGTGTACATTCTGAGATCCCAGTTCAGGACTCGAATCGATATAGTTCATCGAACTTTTGATGAGCACCACGAGTAGAGATCAAAGTTACAGAGTCCAGCTGTAACTGGAGAGTTCGAGGATATACTCCTCAAAACACGAATCTTAGATACAGATGGATACTCTCCCCTTCACGAAAAGAATTAAGTAGAACTGAAAAGTGCGCGAGGATGCATTACTACTCATGTTCGCTTTCTGTGATTGAGATAAAATCATTTTCTGTCGACTAGGGGATCAAGGGATAACTATAGACAGCTCACGGTCGCATCAATTACATGCTATGGCACATCCTAAGGTTTATTTGTATCGACATCAAACATGGCCTGATAAGACCTCACGAAGAACAGGAAGCGGAGAGCTATGAGAAGGATGCCACCTAGGACAACTGTAGGAAATAGAAAAAAGTCTTGAGACTACTTGGAGGATTAATCCGTGCACTAAGCGGGAGGCTTATTTATTCGCGTATATGTAACCACTGCCAGCAGAGGGGTCTTTGGTTTTATCATATTTCGACAAGCCCTCAACCGGCGTGTCGATGTACTTCTCGATGAGATAAAGCATGTTGTTGAAAGCACTATAGCTCGTAACCATTAGACAACTATCGAATTGCATCAAAAGTGTATGGGGGTAACAGCATTGTACTCACGTGTTTCTGGCTTTCTCGTTTGGCGTCCCAGCAGATGCATTGAGATCGAACTTCATGCTGTAAAGCCTGTTCCGGTCATCGAAACCTTCTTGTGGTTCCGATGGTGGAAATATGCGCTTGTATTCGTCAAGGTAGCGTTGACCTAGGTTCTGCGCACCATATCGCCTCCACATTCCGAGGTCTAGTTCGTTATGCCCGTAAAAACAACCGACATCAAGGAAGATGATCTCGCCAGTTTCTTCATCTGTGCCAATGTTGCCTCCCCAAAGATCTCCATGGATGAGACGGGGTTCAATAGGATTCGGTCCAAGCTGTAATGGGTCTAAAAGACTCGGGACGACAAATTCCAGGAGGTGCTCGGCTGCTTTAGATAACTCGGGCCAAATTCCATTTGCCGCGGCATCTGTCTCTACTGACTTGCGCAGAACCCGAGTAAAATATACCCTCCAACTGATTTCCCAGCCTTCAGGATGTGGAGCGATTCCGTCGAAAGTAGCAACCTCGAAGCCGAATTTGCTGTTTGGGGAGACTTGGCTATGTAGCTGAACTGCTCGCTGCGCTAGCTTTCTGGGATTGGGAAGACTCATGTCTAAGTCATGAAACTCTTCGATGAAGAAGAAAGTATCTGGCGGGCTAAAAGAATACTTGCCCCAGGCTACGGCCCTAGGTACCATACCGGGAACAAGAGCGTTGATGAGACTAATGGCATAGTGTTCACCGCGACATAGCTGTCGGCCATTTTCGGCGACTGCTAACTGTCATCCAGAGTCAATGGTGAACATTAGGTTCAAGTGAAGAGTATTCAGGTATTTTGGGAAATAAAGCAAGATACCTTAAGGAAATATTGCTTCACATCTCCGTCGGGAAGTTCAACTGTCATGCGCCCCGTTTGGGTCCACACCGAATCCCCGTAAGACTTGGCCGTCATAATCTTCGATCCGATTGGCAAAACTAAGTTTGGGTGCCGAATAGTCAGACTAGCGATCATCAAATTGCGAGGTGTAGTCGGTGCTTGATATCCTTACCTCCGTAGATTGCCAGGTCGAGGGGGAAGTCCCCTTCGATCTCCGCCAAAATCCCTTCTTTCCTCTGCGTAATATGAAGAGGCATGGTATCGACGCTGGGGCGAGTTGTGTAGTCGACTGAGGTATGCTGGCTGTTTCACTTATATTCCGATTTCATATATAGAGAAAGATGCCTCTGAATCCACAACTCCCGTAGCTTTTATGAAAGAAAGAGAATACGAAAAGGGAGAGACAGATGATCGGGGGAAGTCAAAATAGGGGGGACTAGAAGACAAAGTAACTCTATGAGGCGTCCTTGGCAACTCAGGTTCCGAATAATGCTTTCTTAGTGAGTCGTTTGCTTGAAAGCGTTCCGCGCCTAGAAGCCTGCCATTGATCAGCGCCGCGATCTGGCTAAGTAATTTGCTAACATGTATTCAAACGTCGGAGGAATGAAAAGTGAGGCGGCATGGTGTCGCACAACATAACGCTACGACCCAAGTCTCATGTGATTGGTCAAGGTTAATGCAGGGGCTGCTTATGACGGAATCCACGCCAATTGGGCGCGTGACCAGCGAAGATATTATTGGCTCCGAATCGGCTTCTTGGAAGTGTTGCCTCCCCTCATACATGCCAATACAGTGGGAATACCTGGAATCAGTCGTCATAAGCGCTCCGAGGATTTGATGATGAACGTAATGGTACAATACTGCTTGTACGCATGTAGTTGTTGCAGGTTCTGGCCTCCAGAGCATGTTCTGCAGGTGATTTTGGCGCCCCCAAAAAGCATCCAAAATCTGCGGAAGGATAGCCAAAGGAAGCACCTACTGTGCCTCCAGCAATGGCCCTCACCAAGCCAACGATACCAACAGAGTACATCAGGATCATTCGTGCAGAGACCTGGGCCGTTACCGAACAGCTATTACTGCCGCCAACCTCACATTCGGGTAAACGTTTCGTCTGTGCAACGAAAATGTCCGGAAAATAAGAGCTGAAGCTGGAGATTAGTTGCAATTTGCAGGTCGTTTGTAGCACCGCTGTCAGCAAGCTGACTGGACTCTTGAGAAGGTTGAATCGCGAACCATTTCGGAAGTGACTAAGTGAATGTGCCTGCAATCCCGCTCGATGCGGTGGGTTTTGTTGAGTTTGCAGAACGAATGACTGAGCTTGTCAAGCCGCCAAACGCCCAGGTTGAGCGGACATCAACTCAGCAAAACGTAGTAATGTAGCAAAGTCCACCTGGTTTGCGAGCATACGGCCGAAAGCTCCTCATTACGGGTTCAAGGAGATGTGGAGAGACATATGGAACTGAGTACTTTCCTCTTGCTTAGACAATAATTGAGCCCGGTCACGTCCACAAGCACCATGGAATTCAAGAAAATGTCACAAGCAACGAATGTTCGCTGCGACTGCTCAACTGGGCAGTGTAGAATGCCCGCGCTAGTGTGCCGCCATGCGCCACATTGTGCATTGCCTGTCGCTCTCATCGCTTTGCTCGCTTTGCGACCGCATAAGGCATCCAAACGGCCGTCTTAGGCAGGAATCGCTTATGCAGCTTCAGACCCCTTGGAGGAAGCCGGTAGACTAATGCTAAGCTCATGCCAAGGCCCCGTCTTTTCTCGCAAATCGACACTTCTCAGCACCAAAATCCCTTTTGCTTTCGTCGTCACCTTTCCACAGCGCAGATCTGACCCCAACTTTGACCGCAGCGCTGGACTGCGTCAGCCGTCAGCTAGGGCTGCGATGGATCTGGTCTCTCCGCGTAAGGCACCACATTGTCCGCGTCAGGCATCGAATTCATGTAGAGCAGGAGTACCGTGAGGCAGTGATGGGGGCGCTGTTGGCCGTTGCCTGGCTTTACATGATAGACCAAGATGCATCTAGATCGGCAAGCATCTTGTCCATGTTGCACCAGAGCGTTGTCGCTCACTCACTTAGCTATTGCGCTCGGCTACAAAGATATAAGAGTCTTGGCTTTCCCATGTCGGAAAGCCTTCCATTACACATCATCTTCCAAAGATTCCCTCTCAGCCTTGGGCAGCACTTGATCATCGAATATTCCAGAATAAAATATACCAAGCTTCAACTTCTCCTCAAGAAACCCCCCCTGTAGTTCTACACGCTGCTCCTAATCTAAGTCGACGATATGGCCGTCTCAGACAGATACTCCCTCGCCGTCCTCATTATCTTCATCACCCTTTCTATCCCCACACTATTCGTCACATTTAAACACGGCGTACGAGGATGGGCAATTCTCGGATGGGGCTATCTCTTCATATTTTGCAGTTTGAAGATTATCGGCTCAGGCATGGCCTTGGGCGACCCTGAGAGCAGCGGCGCCACCATCGTCTCAAGCGTCGGCTTGTCACCTATCCTACTCGCACTTTCTGGTGTTCTACATGAAGCGTTAGTTACCCATCTCAGCACATCAGACTCTGGCACACAATTAATGCTGCAGTTTCCAGTCGATTCTACCACATCAGCCCCTCTAAGCGCAGCGCAAATCACAAGCGAGACCTCATTTTCGTCCTCATGTTCCATATGTTCACCATGCTCGGCGTCGTCCTCATCGCGATTGGCATGTCCCGCCTCATGAATCACGCCCCTCTCGACGACGTCCCCAAAGGCTGGACCCTCGCCAAGGTCGGCGCCGTTATTCTCTTCCTCAGCTGGGTAACTCTCGCTGCAGGTGCCGCCTTGACCGTTTTTCAAGGCTACATGCGCAATGATGGCCGCCCTCAGAAAAAGTCCGCCGTCATGCTCCTCACAGCAGTCCTCTTCGCGCTGCCGTTTGTGGGCGTGAGAGTCATCGCGACGCTGGCATATGTCGCATCGGAGAATAGCTCGCTCAGCGCCGCGACGGGTTCTGTGATGGTGAAGGTGTGGCTGTATCTCTTTGAAGAGCTGGCTGCTACGCTCATTCTGGTGATCAACGGAATCCTGGCCAGAAATGTGAAGAAGCTTGATCAAGAGACACGGACGCTGGACGTGGAGCAACGACAGGCCTACGAGCGGAAATAGGATGGGGTGCATATTGTTATAGTGTACGAATATTTCGAAGGGGGAGAGCTGTGGATTTGAAGGGACTCTTGTTGCGGCCAACTTGATATCAGCGTTCACTTGTCAGACTAGACCTCTTTCAGCTACAGCCGGAAGATAGACGCAGGCCCAAAATTAGTTGCCCAAGATTTGTTCTCATTGGTTCCGAAGCTTTAAAAACGGTGTCTTATTCTGGAGTAAGCGCCGCTGACGCAATCTTCCCAGACGCACATTGTCACGATCAGCGACGCTTTGCGGGGCCATCTTCACTCGACAAGAGGATTTTTTTTTTTTTTTTTTGAAAAAACATTTTCGATGAAGATCGCATTATTGCTACTGCGGTAACAGTTGAGTAGAAACATGGGCCATTCTCGTAGGTCGCACACCAAGTCACGAAACGGATGCAAGGAGTGTAAGGCTAAGAAGATCAAGGTGAGCGGGTTTTGGATATCACTTTCGAACTCAAGTTCACTCCAATGACTCTGGCATGCGCATATATAAGTGCGACGAACAGGTTCCATGTGGTCGTTGTAACAAGATTTCGTTGGCCTGCAGCCTGTCAACAGAGTCTACGACCTCTATCAATTCCCCGCTTTACTCTCTAGCCTCAAAACCCATCGACAACAGCGGCCCTTCAACCATCATCAACTCTTTTGAAGCTTCTGACTTCGCTCTTTTCAACCATTTCCTGACGACCACACTACCATGCCTTGCTCTCAGAAACGAGGCGTTGCTCATGTCATGGAAATCGGACCTTCCCAACCTGGCACCGAAGTTTCCGTACCTCCTGCACGAAGTCCTAGCTGTATCGGCCATCCATCTCCATCATCTCTACCCCAGCAGCTCGATCAACTACCAACGCGTGGCATGGGGCCACCAAGCCAAAGCTTTTAGCCAGTTCCGCGATGCGTTGTCCCCGGAAGTAGCCGCACACCAAGTGCACGCCCTTTTCGCCTGCTCGGCTCTGATGTCCAACTACTATTTCGCCTCCTTCGAAGACCCCTCTTCCCTCTTATTCAATAGCGACCCTTCCGGACCTCCCGAGTGGATCTTCCCCGTCCGCGGCTGCGCAACACTCGTCCGCCAGCTGAGAGGTCCCTTGGAAGCCAGCACATCATGGACAACTCTGCAGTCGTCTTTGGACACCTGGGCTGACAGCCCTCCATCTCCAGAGAGACCTGAGTGGGAGCCAGAAATCGAGTCAATAGAGGCAAAACTTTCAGCTCTGTCGCGCAGAACAGACCCCAGACCTCTGTACGAGGAGGACTTCCAGCTGTTGAGAAAATGCTTCAAAATAGCTGGGAAAGCCGGCGATGCCTCGTGCAAGGTTTCAGCGATGATGTTCGGCGGCGCGGTATCCAAGGAGTTCTTGAAAGACATGACTGATCGCAAGCGTCCTGAGACTCTGGTCATGATGGCTTTCTGGTGTGTACTGATAAGCCGCGTGGATCAAAGGCACTGGCTGAGAAGCGAGTCGGTACCAGAGGCTATTCTTGGTGTGATCGAGAGGCATCTACCGCCGGAGTATTTGGAGCTGATACGCTGGCCTGCGCAACAGATTAGGTCTACACACGGCGATGTACCTATGCAATAGATCGGCCATAACATTTCACAGCAACAACGGTGTTCTGGTACTTGGATTGGACGTGGAAACAATCTCTTATCAGCCCATGCCTGGTATTGAGAGACAAGCTCAATACTACGCTCGTCATGTGCAGTAAACCCCTTTAAACCAATTCTTGTTACTACAATCTCATCAGTCTGTCTTTGACAGGTCTTCTCGACGATAGAAGCGAACCATCAAAGCAGGCTTCTTCAACATCAAAAACAGGCGCGCCTGTCCCATCAAGTCCACCTCTTTGCTAACCAACTCCCAGTCATACAAGAAGACCATTTTGGCCACTATAATCTTCATCTCTAGATACGCCAAACTGGACCCCAAACATGCTCTTGGCCCCTTCGAAAACGGTTGACTAGCTTCCTTGTTGTCTCCATAGGAATCATCGATCCAGCGCTCCGGTATGAATGAGTACGGATCCTTCCAATATTGTGGGCTATGCGATGTAGCCCACTGATCGACACTCACCGTAACACCCTCCAGTATCATGTGTCCGTCGATAACGGCTCCAGGACACGTGCGCGGTAATCCGAAGGAGGCAGGCGAAAATATCCGCAAGCTTTCCTCGATCACGGCATTGAGATAAGGCAGCCTGGACGCAGACTCGCTCGTGATTTCTCCAACAGATCCAAACGCAGCTCGCACCTCTTCGCTCAATTTGTCAAGACGTGTTCTGTCTTTGAGCAGGTAGTAAGCCAGAGCAAGCAAGCATGTTGCCGTCGTCTCTGAGCCGCCCACGATCAGCGTGCTAGATTGGTTCACGAGCTCTGCTCTGGGAACTTCGTTGCCGCCTTTGCGCAGGATGTAGGAGAAGAAATGGTCGCTATGTGCCGAGTCGCCCATTTCAAGCCGCTAATCGAGTTTCTCCCCGGTTAATCTGTTGTGCATTGCGTACTTGGCGGCGGAGTCCTTGGGGAGCATGAATGGGAGGATAAGGTTCACGAGGGGAAGCCGCCTGCGGAGACTGCTGAGCATGTTGAAGTAACCGCCGTCGATGATGATGGAGACCCAGACGTTGGTCTTTCCTTGACCAACTGCGTCGAAGGACTCGCCGAATGTTAGGTCGCCTAGAACGATGCACCGTGTCAGTAGGGGAATTCTAGCCACAAGATCGAAGTACGTTAGGTTAAAGACGGTGAGAAGCACGTATCATACCAATATTATATCTTTAAAAAAACATAGCATAGGGGGTGTGAGAGAAGGGAGACTACTTTAAAACTAGTAATACTAAGAAAGAGAGTAATAGCGACAATGTAAAAAGGTAGATGACTCGAGAAAAAGTCCGGAAAACACAGTTTAGGAACCCTATAAACACTAACTAGTATCGAACACGCCTTGCCTTGCCTCTTCATATCATCACTGTTATCTCACTTCTCCTCTCCCTCCCTCTAGGTCTTCTCGAGTCTTGTGCCACTGCCAGCTATATGCAATGCCAGCTTTCTATCATCTTGACCCTCAACTTGTAGTTATATACGTTATTAACACTAAGCGCTAGCAGCAGCTCGACCCAACCACGACCATCCCCGGCACTAACACTTTATAACAATAGCTACAGGGTCCAGCACGAGATGGCAGCGTCCCTGGAAGCACGGGTGTATTTGTCGGACAAGTTATCCCAGGCTGACAAAGTCCAATGGGCAGCACTTGATTCCATAAATTTCATTTGCACATTTATCGCCACTAATTACATCTCCATTTCAACTATTCGTGGACCAAGACTAGTCTTCCCGCAACCTTGCCCGCGCCGAGGAGCTGCATAGCCTCATTGGCCTGTTCCCATGGTACATTCGTAATGGGGATCGGTTTCAACCGGCCAGACTGGGCAATCTCGGCAACCTTGCGGAGGTGCTCGACAGTGCCGACCATGTTTCCGAGAAGTGATTTAGAAGTGAGAATAAACGGAACCATAGGCACGCGGGCACTCCCTCCCATGATGCCGACAGCGACGACTTTGCCACCTTTTCCAATGCTCCCAAGTGCAAAGGCCGTCGTTTGCTGGTTACATACAAAGTCGATAGCTCCGGCTAGTGGCCGTCCTGCCGCGGCAATGGTGTTCTGAATAGCATCTCCTGTGGAGCTGTCAATAACAGCAGTGGCTCCAGCCTTGAGAGCCACATTCAGTTTTTCAACTGATACGTCGGCGACAATGGTGTGTTCGTGACCAAGGGCTAGAAGCATGGAAATGGCCGCAAGACCTAAACCACCCGCGCCGATGATTAGAATCGGATCCGTTGGGCGCAACGGCATCAGCTTCTGGATGGAACTGAGCACGGTCAAGCCAGAGCAACCATAGGTGCAAGCAAGCGCCGGATCGACATTCCCATAGTCCACCAGATATCTAGGATGAGGAACCGTGATATATTGGGCGAATCCGCCGTGGGTAAGGGAGCCACGGTTCGCAGGCGCGGCGCAGATGTTGTCGTCGCCATCCATGCAACGGTCACACTTCTGGCAGCCGACCCATGGGTAGACCACTCGACTTGCGCCTAATATAGCCTCTTTGGGGCTAACGTCGGGCCCTAATCTGGCCACAATCCCTACGATCTCATGGCCCAAAGCTCGCGGAAGGGTGATGCCTCTATCCTTCACGTACATCCGCTCGCCCTCGCCAAGGTCGTAGGAGCCCTCAGCTATATGGAGGTCTGTGTGACAGACACCGCAGTGTGTAACCTTGACAAGTACCTCAGTGCCCACTGGCTCTGGGATAGGGAGCTGAATCTTGCGTAAAGGCTCCCCATGTTCCACTACTGCCCATGCGAGTTGAGTGCCACCAGTCATCGTGTGGACTGCGTCAAAGGGGCAAAGGGTGTAATGTTGGGATCTACCAAACTGAGATGTTGACAAATGCGGGCTTTGGATCTTACTCCGGAAGGTCGTCACAAATCCTCGTGAGAATGCTAGTGTATGGGCACAGACGCAACATACCTAGAAGGGGTAGTGTAGAGATCGTAAATCTATTTAAATTAGACAACTATGTCGCTCTTTCTCATTCGAGAAAGATCGATTTCCTACAGGAGAGTCAAACTCGCAACTGTCATGTCCGAAGTCCGCATACGGGGAGTTGGAGTCCCTAGACACGAAAAGCATGGCCCGTGCCGTCAGCCCCATCCAAAAGGAGAGGTGCCTCAGTAAGTCCGGAAGTTCAATGTCCTAACGACAGTTCCGGTGACGGATCTGCTGGAGGCACAATATTGGTAGCAACGACCACCGGCCTCAAGTAGGTGATGGGTAAGCACTTCACTGCCCAAAATGTCGAATTCGACCGTCCAGTCTCCTCATGCCCTACCACATATCACACGACCCCATATCACACGACCTGACAAGTTGCAGTCAACATGCAGCAACTTCGCGATGGCGACACAGCCCTGGACCTAGCTCATCAACCCCCTCATAATTCTTCCTCCACGACCTTTGACTGGGACGGACCTGACGACCCCGACAATCCGCGAAACGCGCCCTTCCTTGTCCGCATCTCGACTATCTGCGCCATCACACTCCTGGCATTTGCTAGTGCTTTTGGAGGATCAGTCATATCGCCCGCAACAGAGACGCTCCTTCAAGAATACAACTGTAATTATGAGGTTGGCATTCTTCCCCTTGCCATCTATATGCTCGGGCTCGCATTCGGACCTCTCGTCGGAGCTCCTCTCTCCGAGACTTATGGAAGAAGAGCGGTGTTTGTCCTCACGACGCCGTTCTTTCTCATCTTCATGGTTTCTTCTGGGTTCGCACAGTCCATGGCTGTCCTCATTATTTGTCGCTTCTTTGCTGGAGTATTCGCATCCTCAAACATCAACAACGCGTCTGCAGTAGTACTGGATTGCACATCAGACCGCTACCGAGGGACTGTCCTGCAAGTATACTACAGTGTGCCTTCGTTGGCCGCAACCTTTGCGCCACTGGTGGGTTCCTTCGTCACCCGCGGGCTGTCCTGGCGGTGGACTTTGTGGGTTGGAGCGATCGTCGCTACCACGTTTTACTTGCCTGTGCTCTTCACGAAGGAAACCTACAAACGCAAAATTCTTCATGATCGGGCCAAGCAACGTGGATCGACAGACATGCTCTCAACACAAAGTTCACCTGGCAAGAAAATCCGCTATTTCCTGGCGGTGCTTATCCAGCGACCTTTGCACATGCTCTGCACTGAACCGATTGTCCTGCTGGTCAGCTTATTTAACGGTTTCATTTACGGGCTTACGTATTCTTTTGTGACTTCAATCCCTTGGATCTTTCAAACATACTACTCTGCCGGTCCTACGAGCGAGTCGCTCGCGTTCCTTGGAGCCACAATGGGCACTCTCTTGGCCAACCTGCCTCTGTTCCTCCTCGATCGCTACCTGTACCAGCGGAAACTTGTAGTTGTTAAATATGCCCAGGGAGATGATGCACGACTGCCTCCCGAGGCTCGCCTTCCTGCGGCTATGCTTGGCAGCCTCCTTTTGCCTATAACTCTGTTAGGTGGAGGATGGACAGCCGAGTACCGCGTACATTGGATTGTACCAATTCTGTTCCAAGGCCTGACCATGATGTGTTCCCTCCTGATCTACTCCACAGCAAGTTTATTCATGCTGGACGCTTACGGACCTCTATATGGTGCATCGGCTTCCGGTGCCATGATGTTCAGTCGCTACGGCATGAGCTTTGTATTCCCTTTGTTTGCTTTACGGTTGTTCAAAGCGCTTGGGGTTGGTTGGGCGTCGACTTTGCTTGCCGGCATGGGTATCCTCCTAGCTCCTACCCCCTGGTTGTTCTGGAAATGCGGAGAGAAGTTGAGGAGGAAGAGTCGATATGAAGTTTGTGTGTGAACGAACAAGCCATGGTGTCAACGTGGTTACCTCCCGTGCGGTTTTCTCACGCATAATCTTCCTTGGCTGTAAAGCTCTTATATAGAGAGCCATAAACTGTTAAGATGAAAACACCACCTTTGCTAGACAAACCAACTACAGCCAGATCTGTCATAGACTAGTCTAAGATACCGCAGAATAATAAAATTCCTTATGGTTTAAGAAATTCCCTAACCCTACAAGCCGAGAAGACTATAGTACGTAGAAGATAGGGATTAGAGCAATGAAATCTCATTTTACTAAGTAGGGAAAGGTACATCAAGAACTAAACTAGATTTACGTATACTATATATACTAACACCGGTTATTAATATATAGCGCTTTATTATAAGTAACGCGACTAGACCTCGCTTATATTTTATATATATTAAGATTTTATAAAGTTATTATATATCGTATACCGTATATATTATAACTTAAATAGCCATAATATAATAAATACTTATTCTTAGTTTTATAAATATATTACTTAATTAAAATAAAAGTTTATTACGATCCTATATTACGATCTTTTTTTATTAATTAGGTAATAATAGGATATAACGACTTAATACATAGTCCTCGAGCGTAAGTAAGATAAACTAACTTATTATATTTATAAAAAGAAATTATTATAATTAAATGAATAAGGAGTATTATATAAAATAAAAACTAGGGACTATACTAAAATAAGAGGAACTACGTAATCCTCTAATATACTAAATAGTCTTAATAGAATTATATAGAGTTATAAAGAATATTATAATTTAATTACTAAACAATAAAGAATATAAGAATAAAGGATTTCCTAAATAAATAGTTATTCCCTTTATATTTTAATAATTAATATTAAGTATCATTTTTACTTTTATAATTATAACTTATTAATTTATTTATATAAAATAAGATTTTATAAAAGAATATATAATAAATACTACTTTAAGTATTATAATAAGATTTATATAATATTACTCTTATATTACTTATCTTATAAAATATGTATTTATATTAGTTTAATTATTACTTAATTAGTAATAATAGGATTATATTATAAAACTAGCTTAAGTATATATTTTATAGAATAGGTAGTAAAGAAGTAATAAAAAGTTAAGTACTATAGCTAAAGTATTATAATTAAATAATCGTAAGAAGGTATTATTACGATTTAATATATATAATAAGACTAGGGCCTAGCTCTATAGGACTTATAGTAGCTATTATGTTTTTTATATAAAAAAAACGAACTTAGGATAACTCTTTTTTTAAATTTAAGAACTATAAATAAGTTATATAATTATAATTATATAGACTAAGTTAATGTACTTATGAAACTAGTACCTCGAGTTATAAAAACATAACCCATTACGCAAGGCAGGGCAAACTAACTAGAGGAACCCCTACTATACGAATAATAAAATGCGCTAAGACTATTAGAACTGCACAGGTTACAAAAGGAACTGAGCAGTTCTATAACAAAGAACACTAGTGCAAAGGCTAAACAATAAAGGATATAAACTAAATAGACCTCTTAAATAAATAGTTATTACTTTTATACTTTAGTAATTAATCTAAGTATTATTCCAATTAATCCTAGTTACGACTTAATTATCTTACTTCGTAGGACTAATATCTCTTTTAAGAGACGCACTAACAACCCGAGAAACCGCAATACGACTTTAGTATTATATTATATAGCGCTACGCATTTTCGCAGCACATACCCAAAACTAGCCCCGCTGTTAAATAGCTAGTAGTAGTGGTATCGTAATATATTGTAGGGGGTTGGCGGAGGAGCCTTCTATAGGCTGCAGTCCTCTCGGCTTGTAGGGGATATTACTCACCACTTTCCACTGACTAGTCAAAGACGAAGGACGGGCAAAGGTTTAATGTATAATCTATCAAGTTACAGTTTCATTGTTATTGTTCGCCATATATCTTGGCCAGAGGGCAGAGTTTAGCATGTTATCTCTAATTACTTAAACTCGTGTCAATGATCGGGAGCCACCCGCATTACACTCGTCCCGGAGCCACACTCACTACGCTATTCGGACGGATTTCTTTATAGATATCAATCACCCTTATTTCCCTCTCATAAGAGGTGTAGAGAGTGGCTATGCAGCACTACCAAGAAATCCGTGAAAGGATAAGCTTGGAAATTGGTCAGAGAACAGACCAATTGACTCTTTCCTTAACTCAGAGTAAACTCGACACGAAGACGAACCTAGTGTTATATAGCCAGTACAATAGAAGCCTCTAGGTCATATTCATATTGAACGTGTACTTTGCCATGCTATTCGGGTATATGTCGTTTCAAACACCGATTTAACCTTCAATCTCGTAAGCCCATTCGTTGTCTTCTCGTCCATAGGTAATGTCCTCCATCCAAGTTTTGAGGCAGTGGTAATAACCGCCTTTGTCTTGCCGAACGGGAATCTTGATGACCTGGTCCTCAGCTGCGATCAAGGACACACTTGTCAAAAAGTACTAAGTTCTCGCATTAGCCAAGTACTCTGATAAGCTGTAGGTGTCGTGGCGCTATTCAGGGAGACATAAAATAGCCACAAGAGGTTGTTGAGAAAAAAGGCCGTGCATGATCAAGAGAGAAAGCATTCACCGAGACACAAAGAAGACTTACCGCTGTTCCCGCTACAAATGCTTCCAGAAGCCTGCCTTCATTGTGCGCAGCTTGCACATCAGACATGTTGATATCCCGCTCTACCACGTCCATGGCTTCGAGATCGCCAATGGGTTTGGTAAACCTCGATCGCACGATCTCGAGAATACTCCGTCGAGTAATGCCACTCAGGATCATCTTATTTTGCAAGCTAGGGGTCACTAGCTCAATTTTGCCGGTATCTCGATTCTTCCAGATGAGAAACAAATTGCTTGCCCCTGCCTCGGTGATCCATCGCTCCTCACCATAGAGCCATAGGATCTGGTCGAATCCTGCAGCGACTGCATTCCGGTGTGCTTCCAGGGATGGGCCATAGTTGGCGCCCAGCTTGGCGTATCCAAATCCGCCTGGCCATGCACGCACGGCGTCAGGTGGGGAGCATTGGAGCTTGAGGCTAAGCTGCTTGCCCTCGGGGCTTTGCGACAAGTCCTTGTAAGGAGTGGCGACGATGAAGAGCAGAGCCTCATCCGGCAGCCTGTAACCCAATTTCATCCCCAAACCGATCATGGCAGGCCTGATGTAGAGATAGTTACCTGGCAGGTCCTTTGGGAGCCAGCCTACAAAGTGCATTATTAGTATGTGATGAGCCGAGTGCAGGAGGGTCAAACTAACGGTGTCCGTCGATTTCGAGGAGCTTTGCCACCAGATGCTTGAGGTCGCCTGGGGGGAATAAGGGGAGTGAGCCGCGAGCAGCACTCATCGCGAGCCGCTCGCCGTTACAGTCAGGACGAAAGAGGCGGAGCTTGCCGTCATAACCACGGTAGCACTTCATGCCTTCAAAACACTCAGTTGCGTAATGCAAGCAGGACGCGGTTGGGGCTATGGATAGATTGCCATACGGCTCCAGGTTTGGCGTCTCCCATCCTTTGGCACTAGTCCATCTGGCACTGATGATATGGTCGGTATGGCCTAGAGCGTAGAAGTCTGTGGTTCCGGGCCGGGGGACTGGAGACAGATTGGTGGCGAGGTTGACTTGGATGTCCAAAGGCGGACCGGCTGGCTCGAGGGAACCCATTGTAGCTTGGGTTGGAGTGTATTGATTGCTTCCGATCAAGCGTCGTTCTCATGTCTGGATCCGGGGCTGCAAGGACATGATATCTATCCAGCTGGTAGTCGCTCGTGCCAGCCAGCGTGGTTGATTGGTCTGAATTGCGGACATGAAGCGTCCGGACTAGTCGGGCGGACATGACAAGCCCGACTCAAGGGCTTCTACTTACCACAGTCGGGCCCCACCGACTCCTGACCGCGCCCGCCTTCGTTTCCTCCGCAGGTATAGGATACGTGGCCCGGTCATGCGGCGCTGGTTGTCCAGCTTCTTTGCCTCATCGTAGCACCGTCGACCTCGCTTTGGCCAGGGACAACAGCTGACGGAAATCGGACGCAGCGACGCGCTCCGCAAGGACAGCCACCATGCCGGCAAGTAATATCGAGGCACGGCAGGGACGCGGCACTTGCAGGACGTGCACCAACTGTCGCCGGAAAAAGGTGCGTGCCCAGGCCTCCGAGGCTGCTGTTTTTGTCCCCGAGATATTGAGCAACGCTGCAGATCCGATGCGATGGCCAGCGACCCCGATGCCATGCCTGCCAGGCCAAAGGCACCGAGTGTACCTTCCCCCAGGACGCGCGCAAGTCCGCCACGCGGCTGCGCAAGGCTGATGTCCTCTCCCTCCAGCACCAGCTCGATGCTCTGCGTAGCCGGTTTGAGACTTCTCCAACGTTCTCACGACCGCTGCCGCAGAACCATGGTCCCGCCGTCGCAATGCCCCTTGCGCCGCCCCTTGCGCCGTCGTCCCTGACGTCGCAACAGCATCCGGCGCCCGACGATGAGGTTGACGATGGGGTCGACAATGAGGTCGAAAATGAGCTCGGCAATGAGGTCGAAAATGAGCTCGACAATGAGCTCGACAATGAGGTCGAAAATGAGCTCGGCAATGAGGTCGAAAATGAGCTCGACAATGAGCTCGACAATGAGGTCGAAAATGAGCTCGACGAGGCCACGAGTACAGCCAAGCCGGGCTCGGTCGCATCCACGTCGCAACGCTACGGCTTGACCAGCCTTCTCCATGACCACTCCCCAGTGTCCTCGCGCCATCGCCATCAATCGCAGTCCCCACGTCCTCCCATGGCAAGTGGCACCAGGTCTACTACCACTGCATCTTGTATGAGCGAACCACTCTCGGATGAGCTGTGTCGGGCCTATGTCGTGTCTAACGCGGCTCTCGGCCGACAAGCAGAATCGACCCTGCGCTCGAATCCCAGCCTGCTTGCCAATATCGACTTTGATCTCTTGCCAGCAGATGCTGCCCTCCATCTCTTGGATCTTCACTGGAACCGCCAGCACATGTCGTACCTCCTGACCTACCGCCCTGCCATCATGGACAGCCTCATCCGCAATGGTCCGCACGTCAACAGTCTGTTGCTGAACGCCATCTACCTGCAGAGCAGTCTATACAGTGATCGGCCTGGCATTCGCACTCCCTTCGGCGCGGACGAGGCGGCCACTGGTCAGGTCAACTTCTATGCCCGGTTCAAGGCGCTGCTCCCCACCTTTATCGATAAGCCTTCCATTCCTACAATCGTCGCCCTTCTGACCTGTGGAAGCTGCCTGGTGCCCCACGGTCAGCAGAGTGCTGGCTGGGTCTTCTGTGGCATGGCGTACCGTATGATGATTGATATTGGCATTCACCTGGACAGTTCGGGGCGTGCAGCCACCAGTACCAGCCCGAGCGCAACGGCTATCGAGATGGAAATGGCAAACAGACTGTATTGGGGCGCATACGTGGGGGATAAATTCCAGTCTTTGTTCCTGGGCAGATCACCAGCGTTGCACAGGGCAGCAGCCACAGTCTCTCGCAACTATCTCGACTCGTATGAGGAGATGGAAGTATGGGCTCCCTACGTGGATCCACAGGCGCAGGCGCCGCTTCTTGTCACCCTCGACCAACAACACGCTGCCGCCTATGTCCCTCGCCCAGCCTACGCTCTGAGCACCTTTCGAAGCCTACTGGAGCTGTGCGACATTGCAGCTGACATGATAGAAGCATTCTACGCACCGAGTACTGGCGCCAGGGATGACCGACCGCGCGGGGACAAGAGGAACGAGCTCAGGGCCCAACTGAGCCAGTGGCATTCATCCCTCCCGTCATGGCTCCACTATAAGCCTGAACAGGATCATATTCTGCCACCACATCAAATCACAATACAGTGAGTCCATTGCTAAACCCCCAAGCGGCTCTATAATACAAGACGCAAAGAAGACAGTGTCATTAGGAACTGATGCTTTCATGATCGCAGCACAACTTACTGGACGCTCATCATATTGACCGAACAGGCTCTCCTAAGAGGTGATGAGGATGGGCCGGCATTGGATGCGGACTCTCTTGGGAAGAGTAAACGCCTTTGCGTGGATGCCGCGCTACAGATCTGGTTGCTTGTAGCCGCCTACCGGAAAGCGTTCACACTGCGCAGAGCACAGTACGGACTGGCTTACGCCACATACTGCGCGGTTGTCGCTATACTACAACAAACCGATCAAGATTGTGAGGAATACATCGAATGCATCCGATTCTTCTGGACAGCATTGCTGGAATACGAACGAGGATGCAACCATGGGTTGAAAAGACCCCTACGTCTTTTGAGATCACTCATGCGGCGTATGAACCGACTCTCGCAGCTCGTAAGCGTTGACGAGTCGAATAATATGGTAGACCGCAGTATGTCCCCATCGCACCCCTGACGAGATGAGACTTTCATTTCGTTATTGAACTATGACACTTTTTAACACAGCGGCCAGCTGATGCGGTAGTGGCATCGTCGGATAATCTTGATTGTATGGACTTTAGGGACTTGCTGCCTGCAGGAAACAGTTTAGAGGACTTCTTACAGCCCTGGGACGAGTCGTTATGCCAAGGTACGACGACTCAGGGTCTTTTCAACAACAACACCGTCTTTGGCATTGCAGATGATTCACTGATGGGGACGTACATGTAAGAAGTGGTACAATTCGCTGTTTGCCGTTGTGGCGCGCTTGGCTGGCTAGGCTCTCGGTTACATTCTAAAACGGGTGGACGCAACCGTCCCTGAATGAGCAAATGATCAGGTGGGAGAGGATGTTTAGAAGATCAGTCCCACGAGGATGTCAAGAATAATATTTCCAACCCCTGAAGAAGCACTCTCCGTTTCGCAACTTATGAGAATTCGAGGGATAATTGTCCTTGCCACCGCTTAGCGGGAGAGGAAATTTAGTACGTCCAGACACTATCAAGGATTAAGGGTATCGTGTACCTCATCCAACATATGACGCTTATTGAGAGCCTTGCATTTACGACAAATCGTGCTTCAGCTCATCACGTCGGAACTACATGGGCTTCGCACTAGTGGAGTCTGGGGAGAACGACTCGTGGATCTCCGGCTTCGGAATCGGACTTGCGATTGTCCGAAGCGGGAGTCTTGCGAGCACCCGATCAGGCCACTACGACAAAGACCATAGCACGATGATCCGGCTGTGCAAGCTTATAGCAGTGCACTCTATCACCTCGTAAACGTAAATGATGGGATGTGCCACCATCCCAAATCAGTCTCGAAGAAAAAGGGCAAACGAAAGATGCCGTTCGATTGATTGAATCCTTGTGCTTGTTTTACCAAGTCTTGACCGGACACATTATTCATTATTCTATACTGCTGGTTTTCGCTGTCGTATTTCCCTTCACCATGCGGTCTACCACAGAGCATGTTGATGCTGACGAGATTCGCTCGATGTTCGCAGCCTCTCTATCAGATCTGTACCGAGACGAAGTCCAACAATACGGCACACTGCTCGACTTGGTATCTCATATCAATCACAAGAAGAGCGTTGGCGAGTACCAACCAGGTCGCATCGACGTGGAGCGTCATGGTGCAATTCGGCTGGGAACCGCTGAGGAACTGGCGCAGATGCGACGCATGTTCTCCATCATGGGCATGTATCCCGTGGGCTATTACGATCTCACCATTGCTGGACTTCCCGTTCACGCAACTGCCTTCCGCCCTGTCACATCTGAACACTTGGAGCGCAACCCTTTTCGTGTCTTCACATCCCTTCTACAGCTCGAGCTCATTTGTGACCAGACCTTGCGCAGTCAGGCTGCAGCTATTCTGGCGAAGCGCAGCATTTTCACCCCGGACTGTCTAGAACTCATTGACGAACTGGAAGGCTTGGTGTCAATCCCACGTGCCAAGGCAGCCAGGTTCATCACCGAAGCAATTGAGACATTTCGTTGGCACAAGACATCGACAGTCGATTTGGAGACATATCGTGCACTACAAGACGCCCATCCCCTTATCGCCGACATTGTGTGCTTCCGCGGGCCCCATATCAACCACCTCACCCCAAGGGTGCTCGATATCGATGAGGCACAGTCTGAGATGCTCCGACGGGGTTTGGAAGCAAAAGAAGTGATCGAGGGACCGCCGAGACGAGAATGCCCTATCCTGCTGAGACAGACTAGCTTCCTTGCTCTAGAGGAACGGATCGCCTTTGCCAACGGAGAGCAGGATGGTAAGCACAAGGCGAGATTCGGCGAAATCGAGCAGCGAGGTGTGGCCCTTACACCTGCAGGACGCCAACTCTACGATAGGCTTATCCAGGAGTCATTCTCATACGAGGAAGCTGGGCGCACCAAAGAGGACCACCTCACGCAATGCTTCAAAGCTTTTCCTGACGACTGGATCCAGCTAAGACAGCAAGGTCTAGCGTACTTTTCCTACGCCCTAGCAGATGAGAACGCCCTACTCGAGTCTAGGAAACATGACGGGGTAACTAGTATGGATGACGCGGAATTTGACGCCCTCATTGACAGTGGCTTGATCAAACTGCAACCAATTACATATGAAGACTTCCTTCCCATCAGCGCAGCCGGAATCTTCCATTCAAACTTGCGGTCAGGGGGGGTTGAGTCGGCAAAGTCGACAGGTAATAGGCAGGGTTTTGAAGATGCTCTCCAAGCCAAACTTGCAGATAGCAATGAGCTGTATGAGCGCATGGAGAAGGTTTCCAGAGAAGCCTGTATAGCCATGCTGTAGATACAAAATGGCGTAGGCCCATGGAATTGCTCATCTCATAGGCTGGTAATAGAATGATTCTTTGGTAAACCAAACTCAGAATGGCCAGTGCAATTATTGGGGTCTGCAATACTTATTGCTGCATGTTGGTGGATCCCTAGTCGAAGACCTCATGCAAGTGCCGTAATGTGTTTTCGTCTAATAACTGGGAGGGTGTCCAACATAAACGAAGTACTTCTCCTCGACAGCACCTCGGCTTTACCACACTAAACGACATGTCGCAATATACAGCGCAAGGTTGGTTCACATAGTATCCGTCTTGGTCACGTGTTACATGTAAACCGGGGTTTATGAAGTGTTTTGGAGCGATCTATTTGATTTAACTTTTGTGCCTGTCTTTGAGGCTAGGGCGAGAGACGAGACGATCGTTTATATCATTCGCAGTCAACCCAGCTTCACGTAACCATTATCAATCTGTATCTCTCCTTCCTGAAGCGCAAGGTCCACAGCGGCGCGGGCGTGTACAATGCTCGTGTCGATGATGGGCACAGGGCTGTCCTCCTCGCGGACAAGCATGCCAAACTCGGTACAACCGAGGATGACAGCCTGAGCGCCACGAGAAGCCAGGTCAGCAATGGCGTTGTTGAACTTGACCCTTGTGATGTCCAGGAAAATGTTCTTGGCGAGCTCCTGGTAGAGGGCGTTGTGAACGTTGGTCTCGTGCTCGCCTTCAGCAACGAGGACGCGAAGACCATACTTGTCCTGCAACCGCTTGACAAAGTAGGTCCCGGTCATGGTGTATCTGCTTCCAAGGAGGCCGACTGTCGTCAGGCCTTTCTCAAGAGCCGCCTGGGCAGCAGCGTCGACAATGTGCAGCATGGGCAAATCGACCCCGTTACGGACGTGCTCATCAGCAGTGTGGACCGTGTTGCAGGCCAGGAGGAAAAAGTCGGCGCCAGCTGCCTTGAGCTTCTTGCCCTCGTTGGCAAGTAACCGGCCAACCTCTTCCCACCGGTTTTCCTTTTGCGCGTGCTCAATCAAAGCGAAATCGCACTGGCTAATGACGAGATTCGGTGTGTTGAGCCCATTGGTTCCCGTCTGCTGCTTGTAGTATTCGTTGGCAACCTTGTAGTAAACAAGTGTGCTGGGCCACGCAACTCCGCCTACTATGCCGATCGTCCGAACCATCTTATTGGAGATTTATTTTTCGCAACAGGCTGCTGTGGTGGGTTTCTTGTGGCGTGTATCTTTTTGCGATTTCACGTGTCGCCGTGTAAGTACAATGTTGGCTATTGATAACAAAGTGCCGAAACTGGCGAGGATGGAGCTGGAAATTAGTTAATGATGTCAGAATACCAATGAGTGTAAACAAGCTGTTGAACTAGGGGGGTTTAGCTTACCGACTTTTAAGCTGCAAGCATGTCGTTGTCAACTCGACCCATGGTGCACCATTCGGAAGATGGAGCTGTGACCATCCTGCCAACGTCCGGCGATCGGGCGCAACAGTCTCCCGAACTAGTGGTCAAGGTATATTTCCGAGTTGGAACTCGGTCTTACTAAGTCCGGAAGTAGCGGATATTCACGAATCCGGTCTGCCGATGGGGCTCGGTCTATCGCCTGCTCGGGGAAGACCTATCCAACCGGCTCATGCAGGACCGAAACACCAACCCCCAATGCCGTGATCTAGTGACAAATGGTTTTAGGTGCCAAGCGGTCCTTCAGGTAACAGCACAGCAATACCTGGAGACTGAGGTGCTTTCTGTAAGAGAGTTGTCGACCAGTGCGATCAGCGTGTGGCTCCTGCGGTCGAGCCACCGGAACTGCCCTTCGGTCTTCTGAATCAGGCTCCTAAAAACACCTTCAGTCAGTTTTCCGAAGTTGCGTATTGGCTGTATCCGAGGTCCGCTGACGAGGCAATAATTCCCAAACGATCCGAAACAATGAAGGCTATGTAACACCCCTCTGGTATTGCTGCAAACATTTGGCCTGCCGAAGCCAAGTCTGTAATTACCATACTTCATTTGCCGCCTTCACCACGACGGTATCGTGGCCTCATTCTACTGACGCATAACCTCGTGTTTTTCAATTTAACCCTTGATCAAATAATGCCTTGGTTTACGTCTGTCGCCCGTACTCCCCGCTTGCGGACTTTCGCCGGAGTCCTGCTCCGGCCCACCCTTGGGCCTAATCGTCCCACTGCTCTTTGGCGCCATATTCGACGACAAGTTTCAGACAACGTCAAGCCTGCTGTCTTGCAAAATTCGACTGCAGGAAGAAGACTAGGTCCTGCTCTGCTGATGGTAGCCTCTGCTGCTCTGTTATGCGGCTATAGCCTGAACGCATCCTCAGCCAAGGACACTGTACATCATGATAATGTGGTAATGTACGCTGGTCGTCTTCCTAAGGTCACATACGCTACAACTGCCCAGATGGAAAAGGTGAGCTTCTGTCTGTGACCTTATTCACCGTGTGTAGTTACTGAGTGTTTTTGGTGCTACTCCAGGCACTCTAAGAGATTCAGTCACAGATTTGCGACACCGACGACATCATCTCAATAGACCCTGAGGACCTCTTTGCTCATGGCTTCTCCGATTACTCTTCCATCAACGTGGACCGACTTGCAGTCGCTGTGGCGTACCCGCGTAATACCGATCATGTGAGCATCATAGCTCGCATATGCCACAAGTGGCGCGTTCCCATTGTGCCGTTCAGTGGTGGCAGCAGTCTCGAGGGCCATGTCGCTGCCCCATTCGGTGGTGTGAGCACGGACTTCTGTCACATGGATCAGATGGTGGAGTTGCACGAAAATGACATGGATGTCGTTGTGCAACCGGGACTCTGCTGGGCAGATTTGAATGCGCAACTGGCAAAGTCTGGAACTGGTCTCTTCTTTCCTATTGACCCAGGTGTGTCTCCCTCTATTGTTCGGCAGAGAAACTATTACGCAATAAAACATCCTAGTTAGGTAGTCATCTGCTGACTTACGCGCTCTCCACAGCACCCAACGCCAAGATTGGAGGTATGATCGGCACCAATTGTTCTGGGACCAATGCTGTGCGGTACGGGACAATGAGAGACTGGGTCATGAATGTAACTATTGTCCTTGCTGATGGAAGCATAATCAAGACGCGCCGACGACCTCGAAAATGTAGTGCCGGTTATAACCTTAATGGCATCATCGTCGGCTCAGAGGGAACCTTAGAGATTGTTACCGAGGCGACTCTGAATTTGGCTCCTATACCGGAATATGAGTCTGTCACTGTGATTCCGTTCTCAGACCTGTCAACTGCTGTCAACGCGGCAGCTGCCATCATCCGAAAAGGTGTCCCTGTTGCCGCTCTGGAGCTTATGGACGAGGTACAGATGAAGGTGATCAACCAAGGCGGAACGACGAGACCACGCGTTTGGGCAGAAACCCCTACACTCTTCTTCAAGTTTAGCGGAACTAAAGGGATAGTGAACGACAACATCCGCACGGTACAAGAAATTGTGGCGAACTTCAACCCCGGAAAAATCGAGTGGGCGAAGGACAGTCACGAGAAGGATGTCCTATGGTCCGCGAGAAAGGAGTCCTTGTACTCTATGCTCGCCTTACGAAAGGAGGGTGAGGAGCTTTGGACGACCGTTGTCGCTGTCCCGTTAAGTCGGCTAGCTGAAGTCATCAGTGAGAGCAAAAATGATGCGGAACGTCTAGGCCTTTACGCTAGTGTGAAAGGTCATGTTGGCGACAGCAATTTCCATGAAAACATCATCTATAACAAGACAGACCCAGAGCAGCTCAGGAGCGTCGAAACTGTGGTCAAAGGCATGGTGAAGCGCGCGATTGGCGTAGAAGGCACATGCACGGGAGAGCACGGTATTGGTTACGGAAAAAAGGCTAGTCTAGAGCTCGAAGTTGGGACTGAAACTTTGCTAGCTATGGTACGTTCTTCCATTATAATGTTTGACTTTTGCCTTTTGACTAGCTAAAATCTCGAGAAGAACAAAACTAGAACAGTTAGTTGCAAATCATTATTTCCTAAACATTTCTGTTCTCCAGTGCGTGTATAATGCGTGATATAATGATCATTTTACGTAGAATACATTTGATTACATAATTCAGCATACTTAATAAAATGTAACTAGTTTTGAACGTACACTCGCTTCCCACAAATGACTGTGCGAAATTCATGTCATCCGAAACATAACAATCCTGACAAAATTGACAAGCCCTTTTCAATAATTGTGAAAGGCCTTAAAGGAGATATCTGTAAGTCGGCAGCAAGTCTCCTAGTTTAAGTCTCTCCTCTGGACTCAAGTGGTCAACCGAGGCTGCCGAAGCTTGTGTGTTACGACTCTTGTTGGACATATGACAACTGGCGGCATAAGCCGTGACAACAATCAGGGCGAGAATCGAGAACGCGATAGCAATCGAGTAGCCGGGAATATAAAGTGGAGCGTCTTTCTTCAAGAACGCGAAGATGGCAATGATGGCTCCGATATTGCCAAACGAGATCTGCCAGGCGCTGCCCACGGACCTTCGCAAATGACCGCCTAGATTCATGTTGAACCAGCAGACAACAATGGGCATGGCGGTGAAAGCGCCAGATGCGACAAGGAATAACATAGCGTATTGGATATTCGGCATGTTGCGAACAGCCAGTAACACAGCCAAACCGCAAATGCAAACCAGAATGCCAAATATAGCGAAGCTGAAGCGATGTCGTGTTCGATCGGACAGATACGCGACCATCATCGACAGGCCGAATGCTGCAACCCAAGGTGGAACGCTGTGCAGTTGTGTCTGTACGAGATCGTAGCCGAATGATTGAATGATGGTAGGTGCGAAGTAAGCATATCCGTAAGATGGGACCAGTAGTGAGAAGTACATCATGCCGCCGAGGAATACCCTAATGTCCTTGAATACGCCCAAGTAGTCACGGGCAGTGAATGTTATCTCTGTTGCAGATTCGCCTTGGTCGGTGCGGAGACGTTCAACGACGCATGCCTTCTCCTCTTTGGTCAACCACTGGCTGTCTTCGGGAAAACCTGGCAAGCAGAAGTAGAAGACAACCGCAATGATTATAGTTAAGGCACCTTCCAGGATAAAAATCCAACGCCATCCTCGCATGCCAGCGGTTCCGTCCATCTTGCCAATGGCTGCGGCGATCAACCCACCGAAAGCACCAGCTAACGTTGTGCTGTTGAAGAAGAATGAGAAGCGCTTTTGTGCCTCATCGCGGCGGTACCACATACCAATGAGGTAGAAAGCTAATGATGATGGTGAACCCTCATGTCAGCATCGCGGATCGAAAGCCTTCTTTTGTCATGCAGTGAGCGAAAGGCCTCTTCACTCACCTCCTGGAAACATGCCAGTCTCAAAAATCCCAAGGAGAACACGAGTTGTGACAATGCTGGCGAAATTGGTTACAAACCCTTGACAAAGTGTCATGAGGCCAAATCCAAACATGTTGATAGATAGCCAGACATGGGGCTTGAATCGCTTGAGCAGAATGTTGGACGGGATCTCGAAAAGGATGTAAGGAATGAAGAACACAACCAAAGCCGTGTTGTAGGTGTTGTCAACCAAACCAAGCTCATCACGTAACCCAAAAATAGTTGCATTGCCAATGTTGATGCGATCTATGTGAAAGGTGATATTAGCATGACATGGCTTCGAACACCAGTACAAGAACGGCAACTGACCAAGATATGCCATGGTGTACATGACACAGAGGAACGGAACAACATGGCGGTCGATTTTTGCCACGAGCTTCCGCTCATCAATGCCGTGGGTAACTGACACAACCGGCGGAGCTGCATCTTCTACTGTATAGGCGTCGTAGTCTCCGGACATCTTCGCCTTCTGCTCGTTGGCCATTGCGAAGAGGGGTGATGGGGGAGAACAAGTGCAGCGGATACGGCGAACAGAAAATGGTAAGATTCAGGCGTTTGTGACCTGCTTGAGAAATGAAACATTGCGGAATATGATGAAGGGGAGATGTGGATGCCTAAATGCATCCAAGAGCTGCTGTAGAGCTAGGTGAGACGAGACCCGTGAGCTTGGGATAATCCGCCCCTTCCCCAGAATCCCCCCCACAGCCCCGGTTCTACCCCAGATTCGGGGTACGCAATGGCACGACAGGGGTTGGTTCAGCTGAATCGAATTTCGGAACTGTGGCAAAACAATCTCCGTGCTCCGGACATTCATTGTGCGGCCCATAGAACTTCGCTTCGCGACCCAGCCTGCGACGATTGGATTGAGTTCTTGGGCTAATTGCCCTGCCACGGAGCAAAGTCCGAGCCGACTCCTGTTGACCTGTTCCAGCTAGCTCGCGCTTTCTGAATTGAAATACACGCCTATAAGGACCACTCGCAAGCTCGTCACTGACGTATCAGCCCCTCTCCCGACAACTTGAACCACTCCCCACCATTTTCACTGTACAGGAAGCCGCGCATCATGGCTACTCTGGGAAATTCAATCTTTCCGTGGCCTTTGAAGAACCAGTCCTTGGTTATCTCCAAAGGTCTGGTTAATGGCGAGTGGAGGGAAGGTCGCACTCGGTTTGAAGTTTACGAGCCTTCGACCGGCAATGTGCTGGATACTGTCTCCGGGTTCAACAAGGAAGATGTCGTTGAAGCTATTGAGTCTGCTTACACAGCATTCCAGGCTTTCCGTCACACGACCGCCAAGGAACGCGCGATGATACTATGGAAGTGGCATGATCTCATACGCGCCAATGCCGATGACTGTACGTACGGTTCTGTAGCATGTTACAGCCAGTTATACTTGCTCGGCGTTTAATCGTGTTGGCCTGTACTGACAAATGACTGCAGTGGCAAAGTTGATTTCCCTCGAGAACGGAAAGGCTCTTCCTGATGCTGTCGCCGAAGTCAACGCGACCGCCGGCCTCGCTGCTTGGTTTGCTGAAGAAGCTGTGCGTTCTTACGGCGACGTGATTCCTTCATCCTTTCCAAACACGACTGTCATGACCTTCAGGGAACCGGTTGGGGTCTGCGCCATCGTCACTCCGTGGAACTTCCCCGCAATGATGGTAGCCCGTAAGATTGCGCCGGCCTTTGCTGCTGGCTGCTCTGTTGTTATCAAACCTCCCAGTGAGACGCCTTTCTCGGTCCTGGCTCTCGCCAAGCTTGCACTCGATGCTGGCTTGCCGAGAAAATTGCTTCACGTTCTACCTACCAAAGATCGTAATGCTGCAACCGAGCTTGCGAGACACCCACTAGTTGCCAAATTGAGCTTCACAGGATCCACACCAGTTGGAATCATGTTAACACAACTTGCTGCCGCAACTATGAAGCGAGTGAGTATGGAACTCGGCGGCAACGCACCTTTCATCGTCTTCGAGGATGCCGATATCGATGTCGCTGTTCAAGCGGCTGTCGCTTGCAAATTCCGTGCATCTGGACAGGTCTGCGTGGTAAGTCTACTGTCCTCTGAGCCAGAGACACGACCTTGGGCTCCAACTTATAATTCCTTGGGCGTTGACGGCTAAAATTTTGCGATGTAGTCTGCCAACCGTCTAATCGTCCATGAGTCTGTCGTCGCCGATTTTGCCACAAAATTGACCGCAGCTGTGGCGAAATTTCGTCTTGGGCGCGGAATTGATTCTGGTGTTACTCATGGCCCACTTGTCAATGCGGCCGCTGTTGCAAAGATCGATTCGCACGTCAAGGATGCGCTTTCTAGAGGCGCTAAACTGTGGGTTGGCGGGAAGAGACCTGAGAACATCAACATGGGGTTCTTCTACGAGCCAACCGTCTTGACCAACGTCCCTCGAGATGCGCTTGTGGCGCATGATGAGACCTTCGGTCCATTGGGAGCCATCATCTCGTTCAAGACACAACAAGAAGCTCTTGACATTGCTAACAACACAGATCTTGGCCTAGCTGGGTACTTTTTCAGCAGAAACGTAGGGCGTGTACTAGAAGTTGCGAGAGCGCTTGAGGTCGGAATGGTGGGCGTCAACACGGGCATAATGACAGCACCAGAGACACCCTTTGGTGGAGTTAAACTGAGTGGGCTCGGCAGAGAAGGAAGCAAACACGGCATCAGCGAATATCAGAACATCAAGAGCATCACAATTAGCCACAATTTCTGATCCTGATCGCAATAATATAATATTCAGTTGTTGTCAAATACTAATTGACCATGCTGTAACGATGTGGCAAAAACGCCATCCATGAACATCTTGCCGTGCTACTTTGGAATAGATGATCTTAATCCGTATATCAGCGTCATCGACATAGCCTTGACCTTTTGGATATCAAATCGACATAAGTAGTTCTCATCCTGATCGATCGGACTTCGTCGTCTAGCAAATCCCACCACGACCAGCCCACCCTCACTTTACATTGGTAGTAATGAGCTAGCTTGGCTTCAATGACTGTTCCACATACAGCACTGTCGCGTTTCTTGGCTACTCGCAACTTGCGAGTTGGTACCCTTTTTACAACCTTGCAATATTATGGAAAAGGACTGGTGTTCTACAGTATGGTGAGCCGAGAGGAAAAGCGAACGGCTGGAGTACGACAAAGAGGATCCAAATCAGCCCGTGGCTATCGGATGTTTTCGTGCCGTGGGAGATTTGTCCAGATGCGACTGTGGTGCAGCAATGTATGGCGTTAACGATCCTTTGAGACTTGTGATGGTGCGGCAAAAGCTCGAGTCTAGCCATTGCATAGGTAATGAGGCATTGAACACACTCGGACAATCGCCAATCACTGCTATCATTGCTTGATATTTTGCCCGATGTGATTCGCCGTTCTTCTGTACAGGGGGCCGGCCATTACGGGTCAGGTTACGTCTGACCAAAAGCGCCAGCGGGGCTTCGATGTCCATTGGCTAACGGATAGCACTTTACCGAATTTCGGCGATCGCATTGTGGCGACGGAACTTCTGGGTGCCGTCCGGAGATTTAGTCCCGTCGATGTCTCCTGACGCGAGAGGCTGTCCCTCAGATTTCACTACATATGTGAGTCAAGCTGAGTGGTTTGTTGAGTAACGCGTTCAATTGTTCCCTCGGCGTAAGACTCCAGCCTTGAGAAAATGTCTTATGAGCCTGAATTTCAACAAGCCTACGATGACTTGGTCTCAAGTTTGGAGGCATCCAGCTTGCTGACTGAACATCCAGAATATCGCAGAGCCCTGCCTATTGTCTGCGAGCCCGAGACTATCGCACAGTTTAGGGTAGTCTGGGATGATGATCAGGGAAAGCCTCAGCTCAACCGCGGTTATCGTATTCATTATAATACTGCATTGGGTCCCTGCAAAGGAGGCATCCGATTTCACAAAAGCGTAAATCTGTCAGTGCTCAAGTTTTTAGGGCTGGCTCAGGTTTTCAAGAATGCCTTGACCGGTCTATCAATAGGTGGCGCTAAGGGAGGCTCCGACTTCGATCCAAAGGGTCGCACAGACAATGAAATTCGGCGGTTTTGCCAGGCTTTCATGAACCAGCTCCATCATCACGTCGGAATTAATATCGACATTCCAGGTCAGTAACAAACTGTCACAGTCCACGTGAAAGGGCTAAGCTAATACATTACATCTGCCCGTTGACATTAGGCGGGGATATAGGCGTGTCAGAAAGGGAGATCGGATGGCTCTTTGGCCACTTCAAGACCATAAATCGCAGCTCGGAGGCAGTCATCACTGGTAAAGGACGTAAGTGATCAGAATCCCAACTCAAGCCCTAGAGCGAAGCTGTTTTCTATGCTGACTTCGCAATCTTGTCAAAAGTGACATGGGGTGGTTCGTATGGTAGGAAAGAGGCCGCCGGGTTTGGAGTAGCTTACGTGCGTGTTACTTCTTCCTCTTCCCTTCTTGTCACTCGCTAACTGAGCCTCCAGTACGTTGAAGAGATGATTCGGTACCGGTCCAAGGGCACTGACTCACTGAAGGGCAAGGCAGTGGCAGTGTCTGGGGCAGGCAACGTCGCTTTGCACGCAGCTTTGAAGACAATTCAGCTTGGGGGGATCGTGAAGTCTGTATCTGATAGCCTGGGTAGCCTTGTTGCGACCAGTGCTCGCGGCATAGATCTCGATACCTTACAAGCGATTATGGTTTTGAAGACACGCCGCGCGCAGTTGGCGACATTTGCCAAGCAAGGCGAGCACACAGGCTTCAATTACATAGCAGGGGTGAGGCCCTGGGAGTTTGTGGGTCAAGTGGACGTGGCGATGCCTTGCGCGACGCAGAACGAGCTATCTCTACAAGAGGCCAAATCCCTAATTGCCGCAGGGTGCCATTACGTGGCCGAGGGCAGCAATATGGGCTGCACAGCGGAAGCGTGCGCACTGTTTGAATCATAACGACAATCTGGTGTCACAGATTCGATCTGGTTTGCGCCAGGCAAGGCTGCTAACGCCGGCGGAGTGGCGGTCAGTGCTCTTGAAATGTCGCAGAACAGCAGTCGCGAGCAATGGACTGTAGATCAGGTCGATGCTAAGCTGAATGTTATCATGCAGCAGTGCTTCTACACGGGACTTAAGACCGTAGAACGCTATACGAGCCAAGCTGGAGGGGTATTACTTAGTCTGGTTATTGGCTCTAACGTCGCCGGGTTTGTTACTGTGGTGGAAGCTATGCGAGAGCAGGGTTCTTGGTGGTAAAATAGGTCGATTTACGATATATATAAGTATAGATAAACTAAGCTGCGTTACTATTACTATGCGTAGCTTAGCTATCCCCCTGGGAGTAGTAAATAGTTATTCCGCACTATGTTATTAAGTAGGCTAAATGGGCTTAGGTTTAGGAAATTTTAAGAATTTCGTATACTTTTTATTTAAAAATACGGTATATTTTAAAAAAGTAAGAAATTAATAAAAGTATTATTATATTATAACTACTTAGTTATTACTTTTTAATATATTTAAATAAGAAATTTCTTTTTAGTTATAAAATATAATATTACTTTACTACCGTAGTTAATAAATATTACTTTATTACCGTAGTTATTAAATATTATTTTACTATTATAGCCGCCTAATATTACAAAATAAAAGCTCTTTTAATAATTTAATATAAATAAAAATAAGTAAATAAGTTTACGGAATTTTTTTAGTTATTAAGTAATTACTAAAAGAATTAAATAAAACTTAAGAAATTCTTTTATTTAATAAGTAATAACTAAAAGATCTTTTATTAAATAAGTAATAACCGAAAGAATTAACTAAATTCTTAGTAATTTTTTTAGTTACTATATAATAAATAAAGGAATTAACTTAAATTTTAAAATTCTTTTATTTACTATATAGTAAATAAAAGAATCGAGTATTTATAAATTCTTTTATTTATTATATAGTAAACGAAAGAATTAATTAAAATCTTAAATTAACTAAAATCCTAAAAAAATTTTGTGTACTATATAATAAACAAAAGAATTAACTAAAATTTTAAATTAACTAAAATCTTAAATTAATTAAAATCTTAAATTAACTAAAATCCTAAAATTCTTTTATATATTATATAATAAACGAAAGAATTAACTAAAATTTTAAATTAATTAAAATTTTAAAATTCTTTTATTCGCTAGGTCGTAAATAAAAAAATCGAGTATTTATAAATTTTTTCGTTTACTATATAATAAATAAAAGAATTAAGTATTTATAAATTTTTTTATCCCCCTAACAGAGCAATCTGCCGGGGCCGTACTATATATTACGTATTAGGGAAAACTAAGTATAATACGCTCTATACCTAACTACTAACTAAAATTAACCGACTCGACTATTATTTCCCTTTTATTAACAGCTCCTAACCTTCTGCCGCCCGCCTATAGGGCGAGCTTTACCTACTCTAACGCGTATAGGACCTCTTAGTACTAGCCCGCATAAGTAGCTAGGTCTAATATAATCTATTCTTTTATATAAGTATTATTATTACCTAGGGGGTCCCGTAAGAGCTATTTAAGGTACTAGCTTATTACCCTAACCCTATATACCTCTAGCCCGTTTATCGTAACTATTATAACTAAGCTAGCGTCGATATACTAAATTTTAATATTCGTACCGGCTTAGCTATTTATAGTATTTATAATATTACCTAGCTAAATTCCGTACTATTAAAAAGTACTTTACTACTTCTTAAGCATACTTATATTAATTATAATAGTTATAGTATCGAGCTAGCTAAAGAGGGTGCCTAGCCCGAGAGGGGTAGACTTATTAATGGGTATCTTTAGAGTAGGTTCTTATTAAGGTAGTATTTTAACTAGCTAACCTCTTAACTAGTTATTTAACTAGCTATCTAGGTAGTAGTTTGTGTATTAATAGGTTTATTTAGTGGATTTATTTAGTAAATTTATTTAGTTTAAATAGAGAGTAGCTTTAGGCAATATTAAAAATAATAAAAATAAAAAGAATTTTTACGAGTTTTAAAGAGTAGTAAATATTAGCCTATTTAGCCCTTTTTCTAAAAACCTCTACGTTATTATTAAAGTTTAGAACCTCTGCGGTTAAGGGCTACCTCTAACTATTACGGCCGACTATTACGACTAACTATTATAGCTAACCTTTACTATTAACCTTTCTAGCCGGCGCTACTATAAGGCAGCTTACCTATCCTAAATTAAATAGTAGTTTTTATATTAAAATCACTATATTACGTTAAGTACGTACTTAGGATACATTGCGCGTATTATATAATTAAAAAGTATACTATATCGTATAATTTCTTTTAAAAGCGTAATCCCGTTAAGGTCGATCTTTTATACTTATAAAACTAGAAAAAAAACCACTATATAAATTCTTTTATTTACTAAGTTATAAATAAAAGAATTTAGTACTTATAAATTTTTTTATTTATAAGGTTATAAACAAAAGAATTAAGTATTTATAAATTTTTTTATTTACTAAGTTATAAATAAAAAAATTAATTAAAATTTTAAATTAATTAAAATCCTTAGCCTAATGCGTAGCGCGGCCGAAAGTTATAAAGTAATTAAAACTAATTAGTTAAGGTAAAAAGTAATAGCGGGGCCGTAGCTAAAGGTTAAGGGTACTATAATAAAAAGTTAAGCGCCGTAGCTAAAGCTAATTAGCCGTAACTAAAAGTATAATAAAGCCCTTAGCCTAATACGTAGCGTAACTAAAGGTTATAAGGTAGCTAAAGCTAATTAGTTAAAGTAAATAAAAAGTAGTAGCGGGGCCGTAGCTAAAGGTTAAGGGTATTATAATAAAAAGTCGAGCGCCGTAGCTAAAACTAATTAGCTATAACTAAGGGTATAATAGGGCTCTATAACTAAAGCTTAAGTACCGTAATTAAAGTTTTTTAAAATATTATAATAAAAAGTTAGGTTTTATAACCGAAGTTAATTAGTTATATTATATAGTAAAAGGTTAAGTACCGTAACTAAAGTTTTTAAGTACTATAGTAAAAGGTTTAAGTACTATAGCTAAAGTTTTTAAGTACTATAGCTAAAAGTTTTAAGGCGTTATAGCTAAAGCTTTTTAAGTTATATAGCTAAAAGTTAGGTTATAGGGTATTATAATAAAAAGTTAAGTAATTAAGTACCGTAATTAAGGCTCTTTAATTATATAGCTAAAGGTATAGTAGGGCTCCGTAGCTAAAGGTTATAGGGCGTTATAATAAAAAGTTAAGTACTTATTATAACTAAAGCTTTTTTAGCTATATAGCTAAAGGTTATAGGGCGTTATAATAGAAGGTTAAGTATTATAGCTAAAGCTTTTTTAGTTATATAGCTAAAAGTATAGTAGGGCTCCGTAGCTAAAGGTTATAAAGCGTTATAGTAAAAGGTTAAGTAGTTAAGTATTATAACTAAAGCTTTTTTAATTATATAGCTAAAAGTTATAGAGCGTTATAATAGAAGGTTAAATAGTTAAGTACTATAACCGAAGCTTTTTTAGTTATATAGCTAAAGGTATAGTAGGGCTCTATAGCTAAAGCTCGTAAGTATTATAATTAAAAAATAAAAGTTATAGGTATTATAGTTAAAGGCTAAGCGCTATAACTAAAGTATTTAGGTATTATTATTATAATTAAAGCTTTAGTATTATAACTAAAGGTTGCGCGCTATAATAAAAGCCCTAGGGCTATAGCTAGAGCTTTTAAATATTATAGTTAAAAGTTTAAGCGTAGTAACTAAAGCTTTTAAGTAGTATAGTATAATTAAAGCTCTTTAGTATAGAGTATATACTATTTTAAAAAGCTCTATAGTACTTTATAAATACTAGTTTAAAATACGGTACGGCGTAATATAAGTATTATAAGGAGTAGTATGCTATATAAAAATATTAGTATATTATATTTAAAAATAATAGGGCCTAATATAATAGCTTACTTTAGTTTATAAATAATTAAAATATATTATAGTTTTAATAAGTTTAAAATATAGTAAAGTATAAGTATTATAAAGAGCGGCGCTATATAAAAATATTAATATACTATATTAAAAAGTAATAGGGCTTAGTATAATTATTTATTTTAGTTCGTAAATAATTAAAGTATATTATAATTTTAATAAGCCCGCGGTACGGCGTAGTATAAGTATTATAAATAGCACTATATAAGGGTATTAGTATATTATACTTAAAAAGTATAAAGATTAATAAAAATAGTAAAGAGGTAGCTCGGGGCTTTATTTTTTTAAAATATAATTTAAATTAGTAATATTAATAATAAGGTCCCTTTAATAATTAATATTAGTATAGCGCGGGCGGGTAGAGCTCTTAGTATAGTTTAATATAAGTACCCTCTCTCTTTAACTAGCTAAGAGGCTACGGATATATTTATTATTATTATAACTACTTTTTAGTAATTATATTATAACGAGGTAATATTATAAACGTTAGCGCTTTAAGTACCCCGTAATTATACTAAGATATTACTAATTTAGGCCCCTCGGCCGGGTTTAATAAGAAGCTAAACTTAAGCTAAGGGGCTTTTATAAACCGGGCCCTAGGCTATTATATATAGGTATTATAAGTAAATATAGGATTATAACGCTTACTTATTATAATATAATAGCTCTTTTTAAGAATAGTAGGGTATAATTAAATATTTTTACGGGCTCCGGGGCGTAGTAACTATACTTTAGTATTATTATTATTATTAAAATACGCCCTTTTACTACTTTAAAAAGCTTAACGTACTTTAAAAATATAGAGGTACTATATAAGCTATAGCTTTAGAAGCTATAGTTTTAAAAACTATAGTTTTAAAAACTATAGCTCTAAAAGCTATAGCTTTAAAAGCTATAGCTTTAGGGGTAACTATTTTAAAAATAATAGCTTTTTAAAAATAATAGTTTTAGGGGCTACGGCCCTAGAAACTATAGTTTTAAAAACCATAGCTCTAAAAATAATAGCTTAAGAAGCGTTAGCTCTAAAAATAATAACTTCGGACGTTTAAAATAATAATAAATATAAAAACTAAAGTTTATAAAAGTTTAGAAACTTAGCGTTACTACGTAATTAAATAGCCCGCTTAGTAATATAATAGCGGCCCTAGTACTTAAAAATAATAATATAAATTTATTTAATAGCTTAAAAATAATAAATAATAATAAAAATAAGAATAGAGGTTTATATAATAAGTTAAGAAGCCTAGTATTACTACGTAGCTAAGTAGCCTATTTAATAACATAATAATAGCCCCAGCACTTAAAAATAATAGAGTAAATAAATATAAGTATTATAAAATAATAAATAATAATAAAAATAAAAGTTTATAAAAGTTAAAAAATAATATAAAATAGCACAGCCCCACGGCATAATATAAGTACTATAAATAGCACTATATAAAAGTATTAATATACTTTACTTAAAAAGAATAGGGATTAGTATAGTTACTTACTTACGCTTATAAATTATTAAAATAAGCTATAATTTTAATAAGCCCGTAGTATAGTATAATATAAGCACTATAAGAAGTAGTACTATAAAAAAGGATTAGTATACTATATTTAAAAAATATAGGGATTAATAAAAAGGCGCTTCGGAGCTACGTTTTTTTATAATATAACTTAAACTAATAATATAAAATAGGCCTACCCCGGGCCCCTTAGTATATTTACTAAAGGACTTACCCTACTTAAGTAGTTTAAATAAGCTACTACTATAATAAGGGGGTAACGGATATACCCGCTACTATTATAATATAAAAGCTACGAATATACTTATTATAGCTATTACTTATATAGCCGCTCTATAACTATAATATTATAATAAAAAATACTCTTTTTAAATACTAACGCCTCGGGCTCGCTTTATATATACGTAATAATAAAATTAAAATAAGGCCTAGATCTAGGTTATAATATAACCCCGCATAAATTATACTTAGGCTACCCCGGGTTAAATATAAAAATAAAGTAAACGCTCGCCCCGCTATAATACCACAGCTCTAAAAATAGCGTAGTATATTTTAATATTTTTATAAATCTAAAAGACTATCGTATTATACTATATTTTTAATATTATTACCGTTATTTAAATATACCCCTCTATAACCTTAGGGGGCTTAACGTACTTTAAAATACTAAAAAATAAAAAAAAAATATACTAGTTTTAAAAAATAGTAATAATAATAAATATAGAAGTCGGTAGTAAAAATAGAAGTTAGTAATAATAAACGAAATATAAGTTTTAAAAACCCTACGCTACGGTATATAGCGTAATTAAATAGCTTAGTAACATAGCTAGGGCCCCTAATACTTAGAAATAAATAAAATAGATTTATTTAATAACTTAAAAATAATAAGTAATAATAAAAATATTTATAATAAGTTAAGGGGCCTAGTATTATTACGTAGTTAAGCAGCCTATTTAGTAACATAATAGCGGCCCCGGTACTTAAAAATAATAGTATAAATTTATCTAATAGTACAAAAATAATAAATAATAATAAAAATATTTATAATAAGTTAAGAAGCCTAGTATTACTACGTAGTTAAGTAGCTTACTTAATAACGTAATAGCAGCCCTAGTACTTAAAAATAATAATATAAATTTATTTAATAGCTTAAAAATAATAAGTAATAATAAAAATAAAACTTTATAATAAATTAAAAAGCCTAGTATTACTGCGCAATTAGGTAGCCTACTTAGTAACGCTATAATAGCCCCAGTACTTAAAAATAATAAAATAAAATATATATAAGTATTATAAAATAATAAGTAATAATAAAAGTTAAGGTTTATAATAAGTTTAGAAACCTAGTATTACTACGTAGTTAAGCAGCCCGCCTAATAACGTAATAGCGGCCCCGGTACTTAAAAATAATAATATAAATTTATTTAGTAACTTAAAAATAATAAATAATAATAAAAATATTTATAATAAGTTAAAAAACTTAGCGTTACCGCGCAGTTAAGTAGCCTACTTAATAACATAGTAGCGGCCCCGGTACTTAAAAATAATAATATAAATTTATTTAATAACTTAAAAATAATAAGTAATAATAAAAATAGAAGTTTATATAGTAGTTTTTTTTTCCGGCTTTATAAATATAAAAAATCGACCTTAATAAGATTACGCTTTTAAAGGAAATTATATAATATAATATACTTTTTAATTATATAATACGCATAATATATCCTAAGTACGTACTTAACGTAATATAATAATTTTAATACGAAAACTACTATTTAATTTAGGATAGGTAAGCTACTCTCTTTATTACGTAGCGGCGCTAGTTAAAAAGGTTAATAATAAAGGTTAGCTATAATAGTTAGCTATAATAGTTAGCCGTAATAGTTAGAGGCGGCCCTTAACCGTAAAGGTTCTAAATTTTAATAATAATATAAAGCTTTTTAAAAAAAGGGCTAAATAGGCTAATATTTACTACTCTTTAGAGCTCGTAAAAATTCTTTCTATCTTTATTACTTCTAACATCGCCTAAAGCTACTCTCTATTTAAACTAAACAAATTTACTAAATAAATTTACTAAATAAACCTATTAATATATAAACTACTACTCTACTCTTAGTATATAGTTAGTAATTAGTAAGCTAGAACTCTAAAGATGCTCGTTAATAAGTCTACCCCTCTCGGGCTAGGCGCCCTCTTCAGCTAGCTCGATACTATAGCTATCGTAGCTAATATAAGTATGCTTAAGAAGTAGTAAAGTACCTTTTAGTAGTACGGAATTTAGCTAAGTAATATTATAAGTACCGTAGATAGCTGGGTTAGTACGGATATTAAGATCCGGTATATTAACGCTAATTTAGTTATAATAGTTATAATAAACGGGCCGGAGGTATATAGGGTTAAGGTAATAAGCTAGTACCTTAGATAGCTCTTACGGGACCCCCTAGGTAATAATAATACTTATATAAAAAAATAGATTATACTAGACCTAGCTACCTACGCGGGCTAGTACTAAGAGGTCCTGTGCGCATTAGAATAAGTAAAGCTCGCCCTATAGGTAGCTAGAACTTAAGAGGACTATAGTAAAAGGTTAGGAGTTTTAGTTAGTAATTAAGTATAGAGCGCATTATACCTAGTTTTCCCTAATATATAATATATAGCACGGCCCTAGCAAATTACTCTATTAGGGGAAAATAGAGGTTTATAATAAATTAAAAAACTTAGTACTACCGCATAGTTAAGTAGCTTATTTAATAATACTATAGTAGCCCTAGTACTTAAAAATAATAAAATAAAATATATATAGGTATTATAAAATAATAAATAATAATAGAAATTAAAATTTATAATAAGTTTAGAAGCTTAGTATTACCGCGCAGTTAAATAGCCCGCTTAATAATATAATAATAGCCCTAGTACTTAAAAATAATAGCGTAAATTTATTTAATAACTTAAAAATAATAAGTAATAATAAAAATATTTATAATAAGTTAAGAGGCCTAGCGTTATTACGTAATTAAGTAGCTTATTTAGTAACGTAATAGTAGCCCCAGTACTTAAAAATAATAAAGTTAATAAATATAAGTATTATAAAGTAATAAGTAATAATAAAAATAGAGGTTTATAGAAGTTAAATAGCTAATAAAAATCTTAACAAGTACTAAGCTTTACTTTATTATACTACTACCCCGGCGCACTCTAATTACTAGGGCCCTATAAGTAGTATAAATACTATTTAGAATATATAATATAAAACGTTTAGGAAGTTTTAATACTAACCGAACTAAGAAGGCGCTTTTATACCCTTTTATAAACCTATTAACGCTTTTTAAGCTCCTATTCCGCTATACTACTTTTTCCTTTAAAAAAATATTTTTTAAAAAAAAAGATTAATATAAGAAAATAAAAAAATCGACTTATAGCTACTTTAATAAAATCCGAGCTCGTACGCGTACGGGGCTAAGTTCTAAATAAGTACTAAGCGTACTCTAGGGTACTAAGCGTATTCTAGGGTACTAGGCGCGTTCTAAGGTACTAGGGAGCTTGTTCTAGGGTACTAGGGAGCCTTTTTTTTTTAAAATACTAGGCGTATTCTAGGGTACTAGGGAGCTTATTAAGTAAGTTAAATGGGCTTAGGTTTAGGAAATTTTAAAAATTTCGTATACTTTTTAATTAAAAATAAGGTATATTTTAAAAAAGTAATAGAGAAGTCGCTACTTCCGCTCTAAGTTTAGTAGTATACCTATTTAGGTATAGCGTCCTTGCCGCTCTATACTTATATACTACCGAATTGCGCTTATAAATACTTTATTACGCTAGCTTATAAAAATACTACCTCGTACTATTTATAACTTTTTTTATTATACTACTATTTCCTAGCTTCTCTATTTACTTTTTATTTAAAATACGGATACTAATATAGTAAACTAACTATTTTTATTACTTAACCTCGTTTTGTTGCTCCTTATTTCCCCTCTCGCTATAAATATACTTTAGAGTATAACTAAACTAGGTATACCCTCTTTACCTTAACTTATCTAAATTCGCTATATACGTTTAATAATTAAGACTATATACTAAGCGTATATAGAGAATAATAAGTAAGTATTCGGCAAGTATATAGTAATATCTTAATAACTCGGTATCCTAAATAAGCTAATAATATCCGTATTAACCTGAATACTTATTATATAATAATATAAATAATTAAATATAAAGCCTCCTAATATTATTTAGGTAGCCGTAATTACTACCCCTATTTAGCTATTAGTACGCCCTACCTAACCTTTATTAACCCTTTTGAATATATCTCCTATTTAGTATAATATACTAATTATAGGTCTTAGGGATATATTAATAACTGCATATTATATATATCCGGTTCCTTAACGCTTTAGGCTTTCTTTACGTATACCTTATATTATACTTTGGCTATTATATTTTTTTAGGTATACTAATTAAATTAAAAAGAATACGGCCTATATAGAGATACCCCCTTTTTAAATTTTTATACTTACCTCTTTTACTAAGCGAGAGTCGTATAATTATATTATTAATTAGCAACTCCGAGTTTTATAAAGGATTATAAAGGAAAGCTTAAACTTTAGATTATATTTTTATACTTAGTACTCTTAGTAAGTAGGCTAGGGAATAATAAGCTAAAGTTAAGAGGGGCTAAAGAAGCGGTAAGTACGACCTCGGATCCCCTTTATAAAATCGTAAAAAATTATTAGTACTCTAATAAATAGGCTAACTTTACTAAAATAAATAACCTTATATACCGGCTAGGATATATAAATATATTATAAAGAGAAGACGTCTTTAAATTCCGCTCTAAATATACTCTTTATTTTACTATTTATACTTATAATCTACTAAATTCTCTTTAGTTATATTAATTAACTTAGATAATATCTATTTTTATTAACTACCGACGCTAGTAGTTAATTACCGAGTATTTAAAAATAAAAAAAACCAAAGTATTAGTAAACGTCTCTCTATTATAAGGGAAGTCCTAATATAATTTATAACTATATTTAGTACGTTTTATAGAGTAACGAGCCTTACTATTGACCCTATTAATCTTATTTCCGAAATCTATATAGGACTAGTTAGTAATATCTTTAAAAATAAAAATAGTATTTCTAATAGTATTATTAGTAACGTCGGACTTAATAAACTTTTTTTTATCCTGGTTAATAAGCCCATAATATTAAACATAATAGTTAAAAGTATAATAGCTAGGATATTAGTAGCCCACTCTTTAATTAGAGTACTAAATATTATAGCTTTTTAACCCCTTATACTTACTAAAGCTTTAAATAACTTATTACTAAAGTTAGGCTTTATTAATAAAATTAAACCCTATATAGCTAGCTCTGGGTAAATTAATAATTACGCCGCATTTATATTAGAAATAACTTTAAAAACGTAGAGCGAGAACGCTACTTCCTTTTCTAAGTAGGAGTAGTAAATCGATTTATTAAGTAGTTTACCGAGGAGCGCCTTTCTAGCCTAGTTAGAATCTTATTAGTTGCCCAGGACTAGTAATAAGCAAACCCTACAGAGCTCTAGTAATATTATAACTATTTTTAAAATATCTAGCTTTATAATATAGTCTACTAAAAATAGCTCGATATTTTAGGTATTATTACCGTCTACTTTAATACTATCTAAGTAAAAAAAATATAGCGTTACGCTTATTAATATTAATTAACCCGTCCCTAACTAAACTACTCCTAAAACTATAAGAGTCTTTATTATTAACTAATATCTAAGTAGCTTAATAGCCGAGGCTAAGCCTAAGTCCGTTACTAAACCCTCTTTGACTAGTTAGGTATCGTTAATTACGCCTTAAGGGGTCGACGATTTTAAAAACGTAGCTCTAATTTCCTTAATAGCTCCTTTATCTTTAACCCTTTTAACCTTATCTTTTTTATTTCTAGCTCGCTTAACTCCTACTCTTTACTAATCCTATAAGGTTAAAGCTCTTATTAATAACTATATAAAGATTAAATCCGATATAAAAAGTAACGTTAATAAACGCCTAGATATATCTCTAAATAAAAATAGATTATTTAGTAAGTAGAACTATTACTTAGACTCGTCCGGCTAGCTTAGTTATAAATGACGCAATACTTATTTATATAAGGATTCCGTCTGGGATATAAAAGTATTTAAACGGTTTTATAAATTATAGAAAATATTAAATTATATACTAAAATCTAAAAAATAGTTATAGTAAATTATAAAATATATAAAAGAGATTAGTAGTATAAGCCCTCTGTAATTAGAGAACGTATTGTATAAAAATATTCTTATAACCTTTAATAAATTTTCTATACTTAACGTACCGTTAGCTAACCTTATTTTTAAGTGCGTTATTAAGGCTAAAAAAGTAACTATCTTAATATAATTTAAGGACGTAAGTATTTATTATTAATACTAAAACCTACTATAAGTTCTCTAAGCTTCGAGTCCTTTGTTATTTAAAGCGGGCTTTTTATAGTTACTAAGGAGGTATAAACCGCGCTTTTTAAAAACTAAAAATTAACTCTTGCGCTATTTAAAAAAAAAAAAAAACCTTTTGTAAAAGGGTATTTACTACGAGTTTTCTTACTAATTCTAGGGTCGAAGTATATAAATATTATAAGTTTATTATCATACGAAGCTAAATTATTAAATTAAATCTGGGTTTTGCCTTTTTATTATTTTTCTAGGTATTCTAAAACTTTTATAATATCCGCCCGCTATAATTCGTAAACGTTATTATAAGTAGTAGATAGCGTGCGCTATATTTAAAATAATTTATAATTAAGCTAAGAGTCTTTAAGAATAGTCGTTTATATTTACTAACTAGTATTAAGACTAAATAAATATACTATTAAATAAGCTTATAAAAGCTTTAAAATATAAAAAAATTAATAAGGATATTAAGACGTACCGCCTACCGTAACTAAAATACTTATATTTATTTTTGATAGTAACTATCTAACTACTTACTAGATCTTATGCTTACGAAAAAATAATTTATAGCTTATCTTACTGCCTACTTAAATAGTATCCGCTCTATTACTTAGTACTTCTTTTTAGGCTTACTTACCGCCTGCTAACTAGAGTAGTAAACACTAGGGATCTTTTATACCGCTTATTAACTTTATAGCGTCGCTATAAGCTTTACTTTACTATAGTACTTAATAGCTCTATTATTATACTAAGAGGCTCGACTACTAATACTAAACCTTATTTTATCTATATATATATGCTACTTAGTCTACTATCGTCTTTTAAAGTTGACGAAAAGCTAGAGTAAATAATTTCTAGGTTATTACTATGGATAGGCAGAAGAAAGTACTTTTCGGGGTTCGAAGATGTTAGACTGCCCTAGGATATTCGTTACGGTACTTGTTTTGCCCTAAGCGATCTGACTTATACTTAACTAGAAGTATAAATAAGGCTAGCAAGGGTATCCTTATATAAGGGGATTATACACTTACTATATAGATAGCACCTCTCTCAAATTCGAACGCATCGGACGAAGGCATAACAAAATATAGTATTTAATACCCTTAGCTATTATATATACGCGCAGGATTAAACTACGAGCGTTAACGGCGGCGTATTATAATACCTCGACTTATACCTAATAACATATTATAAAGTAGATAAAATAAGGTTACTTCGATATTGCGTTACTTTAAATACGTACCTAGGTACATATTATAACGTAATATCTCGCTACTATAAGAGTATAGACTAGGTAACGAGTACTATAATTAACTTGCGGGAGGGGTAAGAATTAATAGTTAATTTAAAAGAGAGACAATTTAAATACTATTATAAAGCTATTCTCGTTTATAACAATTATCGTAAAAACCGGAGGGGTGAGCATCGACTATCTATATATAAAATCGAAATATAGATTAAATCGAGAATATACTACTCATCCTATTTCTTAATAGCTAGAACGAAGAGTTAGCTTCTTTAACCTTATCCTGTTTTATATTAATCTTGTTATTTGAGCGGCTTACGAATTATCTAACAAGATCGCTTGGGAAATCGCCTCCTTTATATACGAGATTACGAAATATCTTTTTTAACTATAGGCTATTAAGGTTTATTTTAACGACTCGAAGGATAGTATCCCTAATCTGTTGACCCGATTAGTTGGTTGATTCGTACGTCTCTCTGATACAGCTTACGAAAGATTCGCTTACCCAAAGCTCTTTAAGCTTTGGTTTGAGTCTTTCGACGGCAAATCTCTTCAGTTCTGGCATTAAGAAGAAATCTGCTAAGACATAGACTCGCACGTGCTTCGTCAGTTCATCGGCGTCATCTGTGTAAAGATTAGCACTGGTCTCGGTTCGAAGTACTGAGTAGCCACCTTGCGCTTCGATCGATTCGACTTCTTCGGAATAATTGTTGGTGTACATGAACTCGAAGACTCTCCAGTACGCATGTGCACTTCCTTCGCGGAATTGAAACGTCTTGCTCTCGCTTTCTTGGAAGTTGCCCTTGAGGGCTTTTTTGAAGTATGGGCTGTGAGCCGCTAGGACTAAGCCGTGGGCCGGCAACTCGAACTCGCCGATACGGATTTTGACGTCGGCATGGTCTGTTTTATTGAAAAGCCTTGTATGCCATAGTTAGTTCTCATCCTGAGTTGGCCATACATCTAAGATGTTTACTCTGCAATCTCCCTAAGGAGAGTCTTGGACTCGGCCATCCGTTTCACTTTCTTACCCATGGAAGCTATGATGAGGTTAATCAGTCTTTGCGAGGTTCGAGCAAGGCACGCCACGTGTTTAAAGACTGGTTTATCTGATCAGCCGCCTTTATGTCAGCAGCTACCCCCGAATAGCGGGGTTCGGCCAGCCACCGACGCGCTCCGGCTGTTAATCCGTAGCACCCGGAGTCCCCAATACAAAGCCTTGACCAGCTGTCTCCAAAGTTCCCATATTGCTCTCTAGCCTCATCTATCCCTGGCAGCCACCAAGTCTATTTGGCGGCTCTCTGCTCATTTATATACGAATACGTTTAGGCCCTTTTGATGTCTGGTTCCTTGTGTGACAGTTCCAACTACCTCAGTCTCCCCTAATGCTCAGCTTTGTGCGGTTGTCACTCGATCACATGCTGCCTCAGGGTGTCGGTCTGTTTGGATCGGACTGTCTTGCTGACTGCTTTGCGCTTGTTCAGTATGATCCGGAAGATGTGTCTTCCTGGAAGCGCTTCGATTCTCTGGCGCTGGAGCCTTTGAGAACTGCCGCATGGCAGCATGATTTGCTTTGTCGTTTGTCGTCCTCTTTGGCAGAGGCAGTGGGCGTTGGTGGTAGGTAAGGTGGGCTATCGGCGATAAGGGCGATCCTTAGGGCATGCTGGTGTTGATTCTGGATGTTTCGGATCGGGGTCCGTCTAAGTTGATCTCGGCATCCAAAAGAACTAGCAATTCAACGCACCGCCACTTCGTCAGTACGTCCCTTCCCCGTATTGCGCAGGAGTCAGCTGTGCGAAAGACCATAGAAAGCGCTTGGCACGGCCAGGGGAAATAGGCATGCTGCAATTTCCTTGAGCCCCAGGCTTTGTGTATCCATCTTGTACACGATTGATGCAGTGCGTGTTCACTCCCGCATGTGACTATCTGGGAGCAGCCCGTGTGTTTCGGTAGGGTAGCTCAGTCTTTGTGCCGTTAGGGTATCCACGATTCTTTCAACCGTGTTGAATAGTGTAATCAGCCCTGTAGATTTTGTGCGCTGTGTAGTTCCTTCATCTGGCTTTTTAAAACCTTCCTGAAGTGTTTCGGGCAATGGCCGAGTTGGAGGATGTGCGCACGAGGTGTAGTGCAATCCATTTGCACTCGTTACAACGATTGTCACACTATGCTTTGGGGACACTACGGTCTCCCACAAGCATGACTAAGTTTGCCAAGAATATGCCGGCATACGGGGTCTTCAATCCACTACAAAGATAGTCGGTATATCCCGATAGCCACTCATTCCTCATTTTCATCAATACATTCCATTGACCCCTGCCTAACAGTTGTGCCCCGACAGCATTTTCTCCCCATCCGAAATGCCAGTTTGGTGATGCCATCAGGATCCGGGGCCTTCAGCTACATCAGCCACCCTGACAAATCAAGCTCATCAAGCGTTATTACAGAAGAACAGCGACATGCGCAGCTAAGTACATTTCTAGTCTAGAAACATTACGCAAAGAGCACGGAACCTATCAGCATGCCGTTTATAAGGAGTTACATAAGGGCTTACAATACGCGTAGTATAAAGTAAAGTACAGTGGAAGGGCAACAGGCAAGAGAGGAACAACTACATTGTCAAGAGTGTGGGCGGTAAATAGATCAGTAAGTCCTTCAGGGTAGTAAGCTAGACAAGGGTTTGTCATGAAAAAGGTCAAACAAAGGCTACTAGGGGGTCAAGCCTCTTGGCTAAGAAGTGAAGAGGGCGTAGGTGGCCAGAGCACAGCTCCGAGGGCAATTCGATAAGTGGTATAAAAAGCCCCTTACGAGTACTCGCTCGACCCGTGGGCAGTGAACAAGCGCCAGGCTCAGCACTGGGCGGTAAGACTAGTCGACTCGGGTATCTTATGAGCAAACGGTAAGATTTCCGGTAGAGTCGCTACCTAAACAGTACAATTTTAGGAAGGCGGTGTCGAGCTAAGAGCAGGGCTATATAAAGACTTATACTTTAGATAGGAAGGTAGTATAGACTCTCGGATTAAGTACGGACGTTCTATTTAGTTAAGTAGGCAGTACGGAGCCCGACCTATTATAAGCTATTCTTAGTAAGCGGGGGACCTAATTACTTACTTCTTAGTAGTCGGTCTTAGTATTATATTAAGGAGTATAACTTAGAAATAGAATAGAAGTAGGCCGGGGATATAAGTACTACTATGCGGTACCTAATAAGAAATAACCCATTCTAAACGCGAGGTCCGTAGTAAATTTATTAGTAATAAAATTCTAAAGGCTTATATCTAGAAGTATAAGCTCGATGTATAAGTTACGTTATTTATAGTAAAGATTTTTATATAGATATAATAAATTTTAATGTCCTACTAGCCGCTACTAGACCGTTAGTATAAACCTAAATTATTTTTTAAGGGCTTCGGGTCTAATATTTTAGACCCGTTACGATCGAAACCCTTAAGTTTAGTATCTTATTAGTGTACTATTATATTAATAATATTTTATATATTATTTTTAGGATAGTTATTGGCTTTTTATAGGCTATATATATACGGGAGATTATATATATTTACTAAGGACTTACAATATTATTTTAGCATTGCTACCTATGTTTTTAGTAGAAAGTAAGGAAACGATAGTATAGAGGCGGGGTTAGTCTTAACGCTAATCTCCGCTATAGGCCCATATTACCCAGCCCAGCTCGAATAGTAAATAGCTATTGCGATTTTAGCTAAGGTTAAAGATATAATATAGTTAGGAGCACGTTAGTACTTAATAATAGATTCTGGACTATAAGTTAAGTTCTATGTATTACGAGATCGCGTGCTAGGGTAGTGTTGGGAGTCTTAGCAAAGCCTTAACCCCTTTTTTTACGGCGGCGCGCCGCTAGTATAGTACGATTTTAGTTTTCTCTTCTTTACGTTATGCCTTATGTAGATATATCTAGACCCGACACTACGGGTTATTATAATCTATTTATTATATATATTAACTATTAACCTAACTCTCTAGAGCTATGACGCTTATACTATAACTGCTATAGTATAATCTTATGTTTAGACGATCTTATCCGGGGTTAATAGGCCCGTTACGGTAGTAGCATTGAACTCGCTAAATATTTTTTTGAGAGCAATCCGAACAAATGCTTATAGAGGCCAGTATAGTATGGCTGGGTTGTCGTAGTATATATTTTTTCCGAGTTACGTAGCCGATGTGCCACGGTTCGCTGATGTAGTAGCTTGGGATTTAGTTTCTAACTGAACGGTTTACCTTTTATTTTGTGGGCTCAGCGGGGACATTGGTATATAAATCCAAGCAATTTCGTTCTGTTGGTATGTAATAAGGCCACATGTGTCTCGGCTAAATTATATCATGGTCGAACCTACGGAGTACTGTACGCTCAAAAGCCAGAAGCGTACTTAATCAACCCCCCCGGCCCGCTCCGCGAGACTCATTCAACCTCACGTTTGTAAGGACGCTAGCCTAGTGTGGCAAGTATCCGTTTGACCCTGGTCTGCTGCCCCCGATGAGTAGACGTAGACTGTCTACTAGTGTTTGAAAAGTATCAGACAGAAGATAGAGCCGTATGCGGCTTAGACGGGGTGAACACACATACACGGCCGTGGATGGTGGCGCAAGCTGCTGAGTACGTGGATCTGGAAGCACGATAATGATGTCGGGAGGCCGGCTTAGTGGTATGATTGGAGAGAATGCATAAATCTAGGACCGGCTCCGGTTTATCTAGTAAGTACATACAAAAGGGAATTTAGACTGGGTTTCCACACTCAACGTCCAGCGTCATGAAGCGTCATGATTGATTCGATGATCAACAACAAGAGACGTTCTGAGGGCGACCTCACAGATCGTGATGCTTTTTGGGAAATACTCCGCAGCAAAAAGTGCAATGATCACCGAGTCGTGCATCGACTAGAGTCCTCTTTATCGGACCATAAGAGGAGATGTGTTAGGCAGATAGCTAAACACCAAGCGTTTTACAACGCCTTCAACCATTTGTCACGGATCCCGGGTCTGCGATCGGGCCTGGTCATCGGCAACCTTAACAAACTCATCGCCCTCAAATGCGACGAGGTCTGCGTCCCCCCGCCAGAGCAAAACCTATACTGATCGGTCATAGGAAGTTGTGAGCTACCTCGAGCACATATACTACACATGGCTGCATCTTGCCGGGAATAATGAGTCAAATCTCGGAAAGATTGATACATTCACTGTCAAGTCTGTGGAGCTCCGGTGCCCTAGATTTTCAGCAGAGGATGAAAGATTGCTTCGGAACGCAGTTCTGGACGGTCGTGTCTTCAGGCTTTTCGACAAATCTGAGCGAATCATCATTTGGAAGAACCTTTGTTCCATCGACTCTACGATTCCATCACTGACAACATTTTTCAACGACGTCAAGTACCTTGAATTGTGCGCAAAGTGGATGAAGCGTTTGGTTGCTATACCTCAGGATGGACACACTGTGAGGACTGCATTGACGAGGGCCTTCAAGCATTCGATAAGAGATGAAAACCTGTATCCAATCGAGGAGTCCGACATGACTTTCTCCTACCGACCTGTTGAGGTAGACGCTCGTCTCCAGCTTGGAATGCGGCAGTTATGGCTTTCGACGATGAGAAATTTCCGACAGATGGAAACGAATCCAAGCTTACTTCCCAAGCTGGCGAGTCTGGCATCGGAACTGGGGTTCGATACGAACGATATCCGTTGCCTGAAGTCTATGTCTCCAGATTTGGAGGTTGCACAGCAAGCATTGACAATGGCTCGGCCACCGAAAGACTATATTTACGATGTTCTGAGCTTTCAAGCTGTGGCCGACAAAATTGCCCATACGTTCCCAGACCTTCAGCAAAATGATTCTGCTCAGGAGTCACCCGAGTTTTTCACCGATGCCTATAGTTCGAAATACGATTCTCGGCCGTGGCTGAATTAGATATCTTATACGGACGCCGCTGAGTCGATGTTTGTTGACATTATGGACAAGCAACTAAGTACGGGAGGCGGGAGACTTGCTGGCCTATTTATCTGCAGATCTATACATTTGGCATTCTTCGGTACTCCTCGTCAAGACAATCTACAGGTGCCAGTCGCTTCATCTGATAGTGACATAGTCGATGATAAGCTACTTTCCTCTGGTCGCTACCTACTAGAAGCAGGCCACTACCAAGAATTAAGAACAAGCAATTAAGCAACCTCATCTAGTTAATATAAAGACCCTTCTATAAGAAAATCTCTAGCACGAAAAGTCACACTCGAATTCATTACTAAAGAGGTAAAAAGAGAAGAGTATGTCTTTTTTAATACTTAAAACCCGAAAGAAGCTCTTCGGTTTTAACTACTTTTGTAAGAGGCTATGTTTAAATAAAAAGTTCTGCTAATTACCGTAGGAAAGCAGCCACTGCTAGTAATGGACTATTATAAAGAGGTTATAGAAAAGGGACTTGACCGTATCTTATTATTATAAGTAGATTATATAAATACGAGTATAATAAAATAGAATCTCGTACTAATATTATAAAGAAAGTAGTGCTAAAGGGAAGTCTATGCTTATAAGTTTTGTTACTAATTAATTATAACTTTTAGGTAATAGAACTAGGTAGTAGAGCTAAGGGGTAGAACTAATTTAATATAACTAGGTAGTAGAACTAGTTTAGTAGAATTAGGTAGTAGAACTAGGTGGTAGAACTAGGTGGTAGAACTAGTTTAGTAGAACTAGGTAGTAGAACTAGGTAGTAGAACTAGTTTAGTAGAACTAGGTAGTAGAACTAATTTAATAGAACCTAGTAATAGAACTAGGTATAAGAACTAGTAGAACTAAGTAGTAAAACTAAGTAGTAGAACTAGGTAGTAGAACTAGGTAGTAGAACTAGTTTAGTTAGTACTAGGATACCATATCTTATTATAAGAGCCGATATAGGCTCTTTATATATAAAAGTTTTAATTACGTCAGTGTGTACTAGCTATAGTATTAATTATATATTACTTCCTCTTAGTAATATACTTTATCTTTTTAAACTTAACTTATATAGGCTGTACCGAAAGTTAGCCTTATTATATATATATTAGTATAATTAATAGTAGGAGAATAATAGCTATAGAAGCTAGTTATAGATATTTTTAAGTAGCTTTTGAATACGTACTATTACTTACACTATATCTAATAATCCTAATCCTATATTTTATTTATAAATAAGTCGTTATAGTTATTACTAGAGGTTTATAGGGGTCTATTATAGTAACTTTTAGCTTTTTAAATATTGTTAATGTTTATAAAAGAGGAAGTGAAATGTGTATATTACTGTATATATAAAAAGTATATCCTGTTTAATTAAACTCTTTTAATTTTCTAAGCGCACGGACTTTTTTTAATAATATAAATATTTGTAGTTTTATATAGAGTACTAGTAGCGGACCTAAATTAATTATTTTATAAATAGCTTATGCTAAGAATAGATAAACGGCCGTTAAGTTATAACTATTATATTTAATTAACTAAAACTATTTATATAGCGTTTAGATAGAGAGCTAATTTAGGATAAGAGATAGTTAGATAGCTAATAAGTACCGGATACCTATCTAAAGGTAAGTAGAAGTGTACCTTTTTATTAATAGTACTATAAAGATAATCTATTAAGCCTGCGACTTAATAAGACTTATGTCAATATATAGTACTATATAGGGGTTAGTAAAAAGGGATTTATTTTATATATAATATACTTCTCTCTTTCTATACGGACGTTTAATATTTTAGTACTAATATAGTTTAGCTTAGTACGGGAGTACTTAGCTTAGAAAAACTTTAAGTTAATAGGGGTGCTCTATCTATAGTTTAGAATAAATATTAGTTTTGGTATTATTATTAGTAGGGATTTTAAGTAGATTAGAAAGCTAGTTCTGGATTACCTAACCTCTATTATTAAAGATAGAGAGCGTGCCTAAGTATATAGGTCGGTTATTAAATAACGTGTATTATATTTAGTATGTATATATATTTATAAGCTAGGGTTTAATATATACTATATAAGTATTAAAAATAGTTTATATATCTGTGCGAAAAGAGATTAGAGAGTTAAAAAAGGTAAAGGCCTTTTTATAAATTTTTATATTATAATTATATTACTATTTAAAATCTGCGCGAAGCTATGGCTAGTTCTAGAGTAAGAGTTATAGCTATAGAGATTAGGTTCTAAGTAGTAAATAGATTATAATAACCTATAGGGTCCGGTCTAGATATAAGATATAACGTAAAAAAGAGATAAGAGATTGCGCTATGCGAGCGGCGCGTTACTATAAGAAAAGGGGTTATGGCTTTGCTATAACTTATAATACCCTTAACACTACCCTAGTATATAATCTCGTGATATTTAGCTTATACTTATATATTAAAGTTTTTTTAAGTATCCCTGGCCTATGTACCTAGACTATAATAATTATAAAGAGGATATTAAAAGTATATATATAGTAAAGTAGAATTTATATATAATTAAATAACTATATATAGTTACTATTTAACTTATAGAATAGAAAATAAGGAGATATAGCTAGTGAATTCTTAATAATCCCGTTTTAATACTATATCCAGTTCCTAAATATCTTCTTAAATCGTATATAGTAGTATAAGTAAGTACGGTTTTATATATAAGTTACTCTCTCTCTTTTTTATAAATATTCTTAAGGTTTAAAAAGCTAAAAACTATTATAATAAGTCTTTATAAACTTTTAGTAATAGATATAGTATTAATTATATATTATTTCTTCTTAATAATACGCTTTATCTTATTAAACTTAACCTATATAAGCTATGCTTATAGTCGTTCTAATTATACTATATATATATAATTATAATTAGAAATACGAGAGTATTTACTATTAAAGTTAGTTATAAATACTCTAGAGTAGCTCTTAATTACGTAATACCCCTCGTACTACTATATACTATCCCGACCTTATATTTTAGTTTCTAAATTAATTACTATAGCTATTATTAGAGGTTTATAAAGACCTATTATAATAACTTTTAAATTCTTAAATATTAGAATTATTTATAAAAGAGGAAGTAACTTATAATTAATATTATATAGCGGTTAATTTATAAACTAAAATATAGGGTTAGGATAGTAAACAATAGTACGAGGGGTAGTACATAATTAAAAGCTACTCTAAAGTATTTATAACTAGCTTTAATAATAGTTATTCTCGTATATCTAATTATAGTCGTATATATATAATACGAACGACTATAAGCATAGCTTATATAAGTTAAGTTTAAAAAAATAAAGTATATTACTAAGAGGAAGTAATATATAATTAAAACTATATATATATTATATAAAAAAGAGCTAGAAGTATAGAGGTCTAATAGGAAGTTATTTATAAATTATATTTTTATAATAGCTAACGATTTTTATATTATAAACCGAGTATTTAAAAAGAGCGATGCCTTTTTTAAAATACTATAATATAAAAAGAATTATTAAACCCGTTAGGTCTATTATTTAAAAAACCTCTTATTTCTTAATTAGAAAAGGAGTATAAGGTAAATCGCTAAGTATCCGTAATTCCGTTACGTATTTAAAAAATTAATAAGTATCTTAGGCATTTGATTAGGTATATTAACGGGTAGTTTTTATAAATTTATTAGTATTCGCTATAATAAGGTTTATATTCTTAATATCTTCTTAACTAAACTAGATTAATAATACGTATAAGAGATTATTAATTATTTAGAACTAATTTATAATATTTAGCTATACGTTATTAGGGGGATCGAGTCTAACTTAGTTAAAATCGATAAAGATATAATATAGCTCTTAGAGCTTAAGTACCCTAGCTTTTTTATTAAAAATAAACGAGATCTTCGTAATATTATATTTAGTAACCGGGCGTTTAAAAACTTTAACTAAACTAAACAAAATTCGTTCTAATAAAACCTTTATAGCTTAAATATTATAATACTTTTACTATTAGCGTTCTTTAAATATTTTAAGTACTTTAAGGAATATACGAACTATATAAAGTCCCTTATATTGCTTCCTTAATATAGTAGCCTATATAATATTCTCTTAGTTAGTTTTAGACTATATATAATATTAAATAACTACTATTTTATTTAAATTTCTAATTTAACGCTCGAATTCCGCGTTATTAAGTTAGGGGCTTAATTTAATACTAGTTAGTATTAAATATAGCTTTTCGTAATACGATATTTCTAAAGCATAATAATAGATCCTATAATACTCCCTAAATTTACAGTTTTAATATCTTATTTATACTTCGAGACTAATAAAATCCGATCCCTTAAATTACTCTACCTAGAACAAAACATAGTCTTATATACGAATTTAATTTTTAATATATAATATTAAATATCTTAGTCTATTTAAGATATAAAGCACCTTACGAAACTTAGTATACTAAAACCGTTCGTTATTAATAATAAAGTACTTAAACTAAACGTACGTCTATAGTCTACTCGAGAGGTTTATAAAAAAAATAAGGAGTTCCTCTTTTTTAATAATATAAATTAATAACTAATTTTTAAAGGAGAGTTAATTACTAACGTATTTCTATTTAGAACTATTTATATAGCTTTTTTCTATAAGCGGCTTTTTAATTAAGCCTAAGACTCGATACTATTTATAATATCTTTACGTCGTAGCTATAATAAACTAAACCTAGGTATAAATACGCTACTAAATAGCCTTAAAAATAATATAAATATTTAATAGCTAGATATAAGGGTATTTTGAACTTAGGTAATAGTAATAGAAAGCTTAGATTTAGTAATAGATTAAGAAGGGAATCGACGTAATATAACTTTTAAGGTCTTAAAAAGCGGATATTATAGTAAGAAGAATATTTAATTTTTGACATAACTATTTACGGAGATAATTAAGTCTTAAGTTTAATCTCGTACGAGGTTTAGTATAATAA